GGGAGGGAGGGAGGGAGGGAGGAAAAACACACACTCGCCATTGCGCTTTTGCGCTGTTCCCCGATGGTAAAGCATTGGGCGCTTCTTGGGGGGCTTTGGAGGGCCGGATGGGAGCGATCTGGGGTTGATGAAAGGGGTTACCTCGCCCCTGGGTCTCACGGGTGTGTGCGGGGATCCGGTCACTCTGATCTGCGCATGATCAGTTGCATTGGGCCTCTAACAGGAGGCGAGTGCTTGGGAGAGAGTAGTTGGGAGAGAGTAGTTGGGGGAGAGTGCTTGGGAGAGAGTACTTGGGGGAGAGTAGTTGGGGGAGAGTGCTTGGGAGAGAGTACTTGGGGGAGAGTAATTCTCTGGTGGTGCATGAATGGAGAAGAATTCACCTGGGTGGGATTTCACGCCGTCTTGGCTGTCGTGGCTTTGCAGGCGGCTCGCAACGCCAGCAAGTTCAAGGGCGTCTCTTCCTCCGACGTGCGGGGGGGAGGTTTTGGGGGCTTTGGCGGCACTGGGTACGGCAGCAGCGGCAGTGGCGGTGGCGGATACGGATACGGCGGCTTTGGCAATGGCGGCTATGGCGGCCGAAGCCAGGTTGGTCCGGGCGATCGGCTTGGACGGCTTGGACGGGATGATCACCTTGCTTGGCCAGCAGTGGGCCAGTGGAACCCTGGACAAGGAAAACCGGGTCTGGTTATCTTAGGGCAAAAAGTTGGACAACGTTTTGTTCTTGCTGCTTGCTTGGGGTGGTCAGTGATAGGTGAAGAGAAAGGTAGCGAAAGGTAGAGAACGATCCGAATAAAGGAATGAATGGATGGATGTGCAGCCTTCAAAACACCCAGCTGAGAGTCCAACCCGCAGGCTATATTGAGTTATAGAGCTCTCAAGCCTGTGTCCGCCTGCAGCCTGGCAGCACGACTGGTCGGCCGGTCGGCCGGCCGTGGACCTCCCCCGCTACACGGCATTATGCGCTGGGGGAGAAGGATATACATACATATATACACATCCTTCTCCCCCGACGTCGCTCTGATTTCCTCCGGTTCTTCCATCGTTCTCTCTTCTCCTCCTGCTTCTTCTCCATTGGCCAGGGCCCATCCATTTCCCCTTCTTCACATCCCCTCCCACCTGTCCACCGCCAGGGCTTCGGTGGCACGGAAAGCGTGCACATGCCCAGTTCATCCAAACAAGACCGCAACGGCTCTGGTTCCTCTGGCTATTACTCGGGCTCCGCTCTGGCGGCCGGGGGGGGCCCGGCCCCCTCGGATCGGCCCCGGGATGAGGCCGTGCGGATAGCCGCCGGCAGCGGCGAAGAGGCGGAAGACCCCTTCGAGGCGACCCGCAAGCGAATCGAGCGGCTGAAAGCGGAAGGGGCGCTGCAAGATGCGGCGGCTACGGGACCCCCTCCGGGACTGGTCGACCCGGCGGCTGCAAGTCAGTGGGTGTCGTGGTGGCTCCCGGAGGGAGGGACAGAGAGATGGCCGCGGGACGGCGGCCGGGGGGGGGCGGACCGCCTGCACAAGGGGGGGGGGAAGAAAACATAGGCTCTGGGTTTCTGGTGCCGCTGACTGGCACTTACCGTGCACCCTGACTGGCCGACAACCACCACAACCACTACAACCACGGACCTGATAAACCTGACAGGCTATCACACCGAGGTGACGTCTCCCACCCACCCATACACCCACCCATACACCCGCCCAGATGCCAAGGCGCCGAAGAAGCTGTCGGACGTGAAGATCAACCCGGCGGTTGCCGCCACCTTCGCCAACATCAGCCTCCCGACCTCCAACAGCACGGGCAGCCTGGGTGAGCTGCTTACGTGGGGGATATCCCAGGGGGCTTTCTGCACCCGCATAGGCCGAGGGGTCTCGTGGGGGGCTTGTGGTCCGCAGGTCCTCAGTCGCGCTGGTTGTAGCTTCCCTACCCTCTCCCCTCTCCCCGACCCCCTCCATTCGTCAGTGGTCCGTCTTATTGGCCCCCCCCCTCCCTCCATTCTGTGGCTTTTTACGCGACGTCGTCGTCATCATCCTGATTGTTGTGGCTTCCCGCTGCGCCTTGTTACTATGGAATCTACGGGGTTCTATAAAGCTTCCTGGACAAACAAACGTTTGGTTGGACTGGCGGATGGACTTTTCGTTATTGCTGAGGATACTGAGGAACCTAGGGACTATTTCTGGTCAATATAAGAACGGGGTTCATCATTTGTTGCATGATGGATATGATATGATATGATAAACGATCTGCCATGTGATTGGTTCTGGAGCAAGCAAGAGGCCCGTCTTGGCGATCAAGTCAAGTTGAGGGTATATATCGCGCGCGCCCAACAATTACAGTAGCTACAGCATATCCTCATCCAGTAGTGCGTGCGTTGTTGGGCACGTGGAGGAGGATGCAAGCGGTGTTTCGGTTTTTTCGTTTTTACCGGTCGGACCGCAAGTGGGTACAGAAGTGGGTCAGGCCTTTTGTGGTCCCGGAGCTGCTATGGTCGGTCGGCGCCGCGCCGTGGCACCAACCAACTGATAACAAAACCCACACACACCCACACATGCACGACCTCCACACACAGTGTGTATCTTGCACGGCCCGTCTCTGCACACGCCCAGCATCCGCTCATTCACCCTAATCTCACCCGCGTCGCACATTTGGCCCCTTCTTCGCTGTTTTACGCACCCCTTCAGCTAAGCTGGTGCCACCGCCGCCGCCGCCGCCCGGCCAGTCCACCAAGCCGTCGAGCCTTATTGCCCAACAGCCGAACAGCAGCAACGAGATTGACCTGTTCGCGGACATGCCGTCGGTCCCCCAGCCGGCAACCCAACAACAACAACAGCAGCAGCAAGGGAGCAGTAGCAGTAGCGCATTGGATTGGGACGCGGCCTTCGGAGCCAGCTCCGGAGCAGCAGCAGCAGCTCCAGCTACAGGTTCTTTTGCTGCTGCTGCTGCTGCTGCTGCGGACCCCTTTGCGGACTTTGCAGCCGCTACCAGCGTGCAGCCGGCGGCAGCAGCTGCTGCCCCTACAGCGGCGGTTCCAGCTGCAGCAGCACCCACCACCGTGGCTCCATCGGTAAGTCCTTTAGAGAGGTCTGTGTGTGTGTGTGCGTGTGTGTAATGAACAGCGTTTCTGCAGTAGGTGCTATGTAAGGAGCTGCGGAGAGCTGCTGGTGTATTTGTTGCATACAAGACCTGGTTTGACCCGGATATGGATATGGTTCGTCCTGGTTGTAAGAAGGGATCAGCTCCCCTGGCATCTCTCTGAGTACTCTTTGCCTGGTGTCACACTGGTGGTGGCGCTTGGGGAGTCCTCTTCTGACTTCTGGCAGAGGCTGCAGGCTTCAGGGGGGGGGGGTAGTGTCGAGATGTCGCATCGTGGGTGTGTCGATGTGTGGCGGAAGGGGCAGGATGATAGCGCATTGCTTGGCCACGTGTGTATGTTGGTGGGGAGTGTTTAAGCTTTGGGGTTTTGTTGCTGGAAGTGGTTTCATGACCGTTGTTATGAGATTGCGACAGAGAGGGAGAGAGTGTGTGTGGGGGAGAGAGAGAGGGAGAGAGAGAGAGGCGCATGCATGGCACCATCTGCGCTACTACCCTGCGCCAGGTGCGGCAATTATCATTCACAATTGTTATTATTCCCGCCCCGCTTTGGGGACTCCTCCCACTGAGGCGTTGGAGGCACCCCACCTCCACCGGTTCTATCGCATCATGAGCGGTGTGTTGCCTCCAGCGGGGGCATCCACAGGCCGCGACATTGCAGGGCCTAGTGTTCCGCTTGCTGTCGCTCTTATTGTCCCCCCCTTGTGGTCCCCGCTTTCGGTCGCTGTCACGCCAACGGGGGGTAACCACCCGGGGTTGCTGGTAGCTCTCCTCCACCGCAACCAATCCTCTTAACCCCCAATACTCTCAATTCCTGTAGGGCTTTGACGTGTTCTTCGGCGGTGGCGGCGCGGCACCAACTGCGAGCGGCAACACGGCAGGAAGCGGCATCACAGCCGCGGCGGCGTCGGCGGCCAGCGCCAAACCGCCGGTCCGGGCCCCTCTTCCTTTTGATGCATTCTCTGAGCTAGGTGATCCGGCCCCGGCGCCTCACGCACCCGTGACTGTGGGAATGGGACTCACTGCCAGCTCAGCCGCGCCCAGCGCGGCCCCTGCCGCGGATCCCTTTGCCGCCCTCGCATCATCATCATCTTCATATTCTTCGGCCGCGTTGCCGTCCATGGCCGCATCACGCCCAGCAGCACCCGCCGGTGCTGCCGCGGTGGCGGACCCTTTCGCGTCGTTGTCGGCGCCACCACCACGAGCTGCCGCTGCAGTCGGGCTAGCGGCGAAGCCAGCGGCACAACAACAACCCGTAACAGCGCCCATATCATTCGACGCGTTTGGAACGGCTGCGCCGCCGCAGCCTGGACGGACACTGCAGCCTGCCGCTGCGGCGGCGGCGGCGCCAGTGGCGGATCCCTTCGCTACACTGGCATCTGGATCCACGCCGGCACCGGTTCCCATGGCCGCTGCTGCGCGGGCTGCACCTCAACCCGCGGCGGCGGCGGCAGCAGCAGCGGCGGCGGCGTTTGACCCCTTCGTGTCGGCGCCGCCAGTGGCAGCGGCGCCTGCACGGCCGGCTGCTGCGGCGTCCTCTGACGTTTTTGGGTCGATGGCGGCGGCACCACCGGCAGCCGCGATGGCGAGCGGCTTTGATGACTTCTTCGGGCCCAGCTCTTCTGGGGGTGAGTGGAGGGTGCGTGGATGGGTCCGCGTGCCACCCAGCTATCTAACGGACTGCGGTTATTTCCGGCCTTTTGCTTTTGTCAGTCTTTGCGTGCGCTGCGCCATGATGTTCTTTCCCTCCAGGCCCCGTCTAGGCCTAAGCCCCCGAATCTTTCATAAACGCACCTCGCGTCGAGGTCAGGTACAGAGGGGGGGATGAGAGCCGAACTGCCCTCACTGTTTGCTTCTTGTTGGGCCCAGGTGACTTTATCGGCGCATCGAAACCGGCGAACCCCGCGGCGCCATCCACCGCAGCTGGCGCCTTCACGGCGTCCTCGTTCGCCGCCTTCCCGCCGCCTCCGCCGGCGCCATCGAGTGCCACGGCAGTGCCCGCCGCGGCGGCGGCCAACAGCGCGTCAATGGCGATGAACAAGGCCGGTGCCGCACATGGCGCAGCGGGGCATAAGAATCTCGACCCGTTTGCGGGCTTGGGTTTCTAAAGTCTAGCGTGTGGGGGGATGGTGCTATCAGCGCGCTTCGCAGTGGATGTGATGGACGTCATGCGTGCGTCATGGTCTGCTCAGTGATGCGCCCTTCGAGCCGGCGACTAGGTTCTCCATTGATGGCTTTGGTTTGGGGATTCTTACATGGCGAGATGTGAGATCTCTTCCTTCTTGGGACTTGCTTTCCTCTGCGGTCCCGCTGCGTCATAGGGGTTTGCTGCGTATTAAAAGGTTTGGGTTACGCTGTTGTTTTGTGCAGGCGGTGTCTGTCAGGGTTTGCAACGTACTTCCTGATACGCTGTCGAAACCTCTGCGCTGGCGGCGTTTTGGTGTTTCTTGCTACATACGGGCAGGTCCGCGTAGGGGTGTGTGTGTGTGCGTTGGACACCGGGACATAGGCTATAGCCTTGAGAGCAGGGGTTCTCGATAACCGCACGTATGCTTACAGGCGGCGTTGTTTTTAGGTGTTAAAACATGCTCATGTTTACATGTGGCTGGATTCCACACGCAACGCAGGGGCGTGCTCGGTTTCCCCCATCTGCACATTCTTATATATAGAAGTGTGTGCCTTTTGCGGGCGTCTTAAGGCATGTTGGGAAAGCCAAGAAGCCGATGCGATGTTTGTGTGTTCCGTGCGTGATTCTTGCGGGGCTGTCCTCTGCTTGTTTCATACGGTGCTGCGTCTTTCCTGCTGAAAGACTTGGAGAAGGGAGGACGCGTAAGGCCGTTGCGTAATGGGCAAATCAGTGACAGAAGGATTTAGTTAATCGCTTTTTTATCATAATGCTCATCGAACCAGCACATGCGGGCACACGGGCACATGGCGAATGACTTGACTGCCCATGACTGGCATGAGTGTTTCGTATAAGAAGGGTTTTTTTGCGTCGGTGGCGGTATTGCTTTCCACCTTTCTCACGGCATGTTTGGGTTGGGAATGAGCGTCACGAGTCTTGGAAGGACGGGATATCTGCCTGCGGATGCCTGCGGGGCATCCATCTCTCCAAAGCTCCAAATATGCCAAAGCCAGAAGGACATACAGCTAGGTTCTTAGCCACCTTTCCCCGTTTCTTCTCCAACGGAAGGGCTCAGCGCTCTTAGACCATCTCCTGTGTAGGCTGTGATGGCTTTCCACCGAGAACAAGAACGTTTCTAACGGGCCCTCTTTCGCTGCCTCCAGTGATTTGGATTTCCTGGAGATGTCCCGGCTACGTAATTATGGTCATCTCCTCGCAGCATTACAGTTATTTATCACATTCCGGCCGCCTTTCCCATCCACCTCCCAGAGGCGCAGCCCGTCACTCTTCTTCGGGGCCATTCAACATTGCGGTGTCAGGGCTGCGCTGAGTTCTAATCCCCTCCTCTTCTTCCACAGTCCCTGAATCGGTCTTCGACGCCTTCACCACGGAAACTCCCAAGCTGCATCTAGCTTCGCATGCGCCTCTGCTGCCGCAAGCCGCTATCTCCGCAGTACATGTGCACACATACACACACACACACACACGCGGGCGTTACCTCCATACAGTGAAAATGACGGCGACATCGCCTTTTTAGGGCACTGCCAAGATCTTCTGATCCAGGCATAATGAAGGCAGAGTATCGTTTTAAAACGAATCAAAGACCAACAGGTATGGCAGACCCGATAGTCCCATTATTGCTAAATACGGATTTACAGTCTGGGGGTTAGTATGTTGGAGCACACTGGTAACCACATCTATCGACGGATTCGCCCCTTGACAACAACGAAGTACCCTAACTCCTCATATCGCACTGCAACCACATCCCCCCCCCCCAAAGACCACTCGGAATCCCAAATCCAATCCATGTCGAACAACTTTCGACACCATTCCCATCTGCCAACTCGAAATTTCCATCCCTCCACACAATTTACGCTCCTTTGAACCCCTCACGCCACGAAGCCCAGTTCCCGGCCCTTGCTGAGAGGTGTAAGGCCCATCTGCGCCAGATACTCGGGATTATGGAACTTCGACAGGTGCCGGTGGCCGCCGTCACACAGCAGTGTCACCACCACATGGCCCGGGCCCAGCGCCCGGGCGGCCTTGACCGCCCCCACGCAGTTCATGGCGGCTGAGGAACCCACCCACAGCCCCTCGTTGCGCAGCAGGAACTGAGCCATCTCAACAGCCTCACGGTCAGTCCCTGGGGGCCCGTGGTGCGGTGAAGGTGGTGGTGGTGGTGGTGGTGGTGGTGGTGGTGGTGGTGCGGTGAAGGTGGTGGTGGTGGTGGTGGTGGTGCGGTGAAGGTGGTGGTGGTGGTGGTGGTGGTGGTGGTGCGGTGAAGGTGGTGGTGGTGGTGGTGGTGGTGCGGTGAAGGTGGTGGTGGTGGTGGTGGTGGTGCGGTGGTGGTGGTGGTGGTGGTGGTGGTGGGGGTGGTGGGGGTGGTGGTAGGGGTGCAGCCGCGTGATGGTGCGAAAGAGACATCGCGTCGTGTGACACACGACCACGCTAGGTGGGGGAAATGAAGGCCGATTGAGGGAAGAAAAACAAAATAGTATTCGGGGGTTTAGGGAGGATTAATTTTTCGCCCCAACCTGCACCACTAGGACCAAACCGCTGTGAAGGACTAAAACGTAAAGTCAAAGTGTTGCCGACAAGCAGGAAAAGGGGAGGAGGACATTACCGCCAATTTCCGCCTACCGAGGGTGCGATTCCCACCCAGCGGAAAGCAAAACAAAACACAATAGGTTTTCACCAGATGGTTTCACAGCATCAGTAGCAGCAGCAGTAGCAGCAGCAGCATGCGAGCCCCCAGGTTACCCCTAGCTCCTTCCCATGGCTGGCGGGCTGGAAACAGCCGCCACACGCCGCTTGTAGAGCTGCAACCCGGATTCCGCGCTGCTGCTCTCTTAACTGCCTTTCGATGGGAACAACCTATGTGTTGCCGCAGACTCTCATTCCCACCATGCCGTACGGTGCAGCTAGCTTACCCCGGAATGCGTCATCGATGACGGCCTTGCCGAAATTGGCCGTGAGCCGGTTGATGCCTATCCCCTCTGTTATGGTGTCGAAGGGGTTTCGGAGGCGCTTGCCCTCAGCCTCTTCGTAGGTGTACATCACGCCACGCTTCACCTGTATGTATGTCGCGATATGACGTGCATTTTGTGAATATCCATATCCATATCTTGTCAGAGGTCCAGGCACCTTCGAGGCTCCCCTCCGTTTCTGTCCCCCCCCTCTCCCGTCGAGGGTTCGTCACCTCGTCATCACACTCGCTCACAGAAGGGCCCTATAGCACGCGATGCAACCACATTAAAAAGATCAAATTTCTTTTTTACATATTACAGGAAAAAGTTATTGCAGAGGAAAATATTAAAATTCTTCCCTTTAGCAATGGTAACAACCCCCCTCCCCCACCCCCTCCCCCACCCAAACTGCCCGACCTTGTTGAATAGGGAGCTTCCCGGTGGGTCGATCAGAAAGACCTTCACCCGCGGGTTCCTCGCCTTGAGGCTAACGGAGACCCCGGCGATGGTGCCGCCAGTGCCCGCACCGGACACGAAGGCCTGCACTCGGCCCCGGGTTTGGCGCCAAATCTCCTCACCTGCGCCATATTCATACGGACATACATACATACATGCTTACTTATACATACATACATATACATACATACATACATACATATACAAACACCGTTGCATACATGCATACAGGCTTACATAGATACAGGCATACGCGCTTACAGGTGCACGGTCATTGTCACGAGGCCGGCTACCAACACCCCCGGGGGGTGGTGCATAGAGCGACCAACGACGACGTGGTTAGCCAGCGGCACGCCTTAAGAAAGAGGGGAGCTGGGGGAAGGTACGGAACACCGGACAAACCCAGATAGATACAGTACGGCACAGTACGACAACGGACTTTAAAAAAACGCGCTCCAAGGGAAGTCCAGGAGAGAGTGGAACTGGAAGGGCTCGTACATTCACCCACACCTGGCTATCAACAGATTTTTCCGAAGTCGGAAAATCCGTAATTAGGAATGGTCGCTCTCTTGACGTGTCCATGAACTGCCAAGTTTATAGACAGCTGGTAAACACCGAGAACTGGGTAACGGTACCCTTGTTTAGATTGGTGGTGGGTGATGAGGTCGTCAACCCACTATTCGCATGCAGCACGCACCGGTCTTCAAATGCGCACGGTAGTTGGCTTCATTCTCGAACTGGTCCGCGAACAGGGCCCCCGGAGTGCTGGCAGCTATACGGCGAGCTACGTTGACAGGATGGTCCGGATGTACGATGGATACGGGCCGTACGCGCTGTACAGTGGCGCCGTACGCATGTATCATGTTGGCTTTCTCCACAGCCGCATCGTCGGGCATTATAATCGAACAACGACAGCCGAGCGCTGCAGCTACCTGCGGTCAGTTGGTGGTTAGTCGTTGTTCTTAAGGTGGACAGTGATAAGGAGGTGTCTTGGGTGAATAAGGATTTGAGAAGGCCTTGGATTGGAAAGGCCTCTCTCATCTCCAGATGCCATCGCCGTGTGGCCGTACTGGTACCACCACCACCCGCCTAACACACCCCACCATAACGCCAGCACCTGCACTGAGCGCGGCCCCGGGTGGCCCCGAACCCACGGGCAGCATCCCCCAGAGGCGCCGAAATTTCAGACACACCTAAGACTACACACAGCAGACTACACACATAATCATACCTCTCCACACACGTACACGATTACATGAGATAGAGACCAAGGTCGCGCGCCCTCGGTCGAGCAGTACTAGGGGACTGTGGGGACCCCTCATGCCCCTCTCCTCCCGCTAGGGGGAGAGCGCTTCGGCGGTCGCTCCAGTTGGGGTACACGGTTAGGTGCCCCTGGCCAGCGTCAGGCCCGGGTATGAATGTGCAAGAGAACGCACACAGGTCACACACACAGGTCACACACACACACACACACACACACAGGTACACACACAGGTCACACACACACACAGAGTCCACACACAGGTCACACACACACACACAGCGGTACACACACACCATTGCAAGGCTGACTCCGGTGCTGCCCGCCGTCCCCTCCGTGATGAGGCTGCCGGGTTGCAGCCGCCCCTCCCTCAGAGCCTCCCGCACGATTTGAAGCGCTACACGGTCCTTGACGCTGCCACCAGGGTTGAGCATCTCAGCCTTGGCCAAAATCTGACGGGGAATAGACGTGGGGGGAATGGCGCGGTTTAATACTCACGCTTCGGCAGTGTCAAAGAGAGGGAAATGAGCAGTATCATGGCGGTAGACGGAAGCCTTGTGGAAGTAGGCGGCATACGGAGGGAGTGGTGAGAGATGGGTAGCGATCCGCCTGGCGGCGTGCGGGGCTGGAGGGATTGGCTGAGGGAAGGCTGAAGCTGGGGGGTGGATTGCGCTATGGGTAGGTGAAGGCTCATGTGCGCACGTGGGCGGTTGACGGTGAAATCAACGACTTCGTTTGGGCTATGAATACGACCCGGAACATCGCTCACCTAGAGGGATAACGGAAGCAAGAACCCAGGTGAAGATAAAAAGGTCACATCCTTACCTCGCAACCAGTTTCCTCAGACAGGCTAGCGATTCGTATTAGAGGCGTGTTCCCGATGAGGTCTAGAACGCCTTTGCTGACGCCATCGTTGAGGCGGTTCACAGCTGATACGTACAAATAACACAGCTGCAATCAGGAACCCGATGGAACAAATTCACGAAATCCACCCATGTGTGCAAGTTGAAAGAATGCATCACTACCATCGCTCCTGCACCAGCAGCCAGGGCCAACGACAAAGGGGCTATCCATGGTGCTATGAAAGCTTGGCATCCCATAAAAGTCAGGTTTCTAACAACCTAAACTTAGTCAACCAAAATGAGAAACATAATCAGCCAGATATAAGCACTCAAACTTCCCAGTCGGCAATGCCTAACACAGCACGGTGCATAGCACGGCATGGGCCCTGCTGCACATGACAACGTTGACCTCTGACTTCTTCAGAGGCTATTTTAAATCTATGGCCTCTATTGAAGCCTTCTAGCTTTTAAGGCGCCGATTGGGCCCCCCGGGCGTCTTGCGGAACAATCACTTGATGTGTTAATTGCCGTGAAGTTGGTCTTCGCCTAACTTTCCATTGCGCGCGGTTTGCGAATTTCCTATTAAACCTAAGAAAATCTTAGGGAAATAGTACCAAATAAGGTTTCCATTGCCGCATATACATTCCGCGCACATGCAGTTTATACGCGATTCCAACACACTTGCCAGCAGAACGCAACATGCTTGCCGTGATGAATGCGCCCTGCTAGGTTCTCCGTTTCTCTCACGTTTCGGGGTACAAGAAGCCAGGGCCTTAGGACGATATTAGCGGCGATTGGAGAGGCTGAACGTTTTGCTGGTCAGAAGTACGACAGCTGTGCTGCTGCTCTCCGCTAATAGGGCTTCCCAGCTTCCACTGCTGCTTTTGCTGTTGGCAGTGTTGCCCATCGTCATTCAAGACGGAGCCTACCCCCCTTTTTACGTATATCTCCCTCAACAGGCCGCCCGCCCTAATTCCTCCTCACATACCCGACTAGGGGCTCAACATCACCGAGATCGGATGCATAAGCAGCAGCAAAGCCGGTTGTTTACAGCCAACGCCAAAGATGCAATGCAGTACATGGCCGCAGCACAGCTCATTTTGTTTCCTCATCGCGCTGACAAAAAAGACAAGACATACAAAGCAACTCACTTCACATGCACATTGCCTACTATATATAGCACCAGCAAGCAAGCAAGCCAACGACAGCAATAGGCCCTACTGCCCCGCTCAGGCTTTCCAGGAGCGCCTCCGGCTGCGTTGAAGCCCCTTTTCCCTTGCTGCCCCGGAACTGTAGCCAAGACAGCTGCTTAAAATCCCTTGGCACACTATCGCTACATCTCCCAAGCTTCGACTATTGTGAGCCCCCACACCGCACTGCACCCCTAAACCCTAAACCCGTTTTCCGGCTCCTCCCCCCCCAAATTCTGCCCACTCCAACATTCGACGCAACGCAGGGCGGGGGGCCTCAGCGCCTCAGCAGAGGACATCCCCAGTACAGTCGCCATCCTGTACACATCGCCCATCGGAATCACCCCGTGCAGACTACAGACCCGCCTTTCCCAACTTCCCTTCTCACAACCACAGCACACGGCCGCCGCCACCCATTACCATCAGCCAATCCGCACCGCCATATCACATCGCCCTGCCTGGACCACACCACCTGCGGTTACAAAGTGATTCCGCACCCATGCACAAGGCCTTTCGGAGCCCACTCCTTGTTCCGCCCCCTCCACCTCCGTTCACCAAGCGCCATCAGCACCAAGTGGCTGTCGACATGGCCGGAGATGGAGCACCAACGCAGAACCTCCAGACAGCAGCCATGGACACACACATACATACATACCACCCGGCAGGAACCCAGGACTCGGACTAGGTAGGAAGGAACTAAATCACCACCGCATGCGTTGTATACCAAAGGCCATACCAAGGGCACCGACGACTGTACTGACGGCACAACACCGCAGTGCATCCGCAAGCCACTGCTCCATGCGCGCTTGTTTAATAGCGGGTGAGGCCGGGTGAGGGAAGCAACCCCCTCCCGGTGGCCGGGGACCCCCTGGTGTGTTCCTTCTGTATCCTGACGATGAGGGAGTCCTCGCCGCAAAGACAGATTTGTTGTGTGTAGAAATCCACCTCAGGGCGGTGCCAACCTCATGAGGCAAGAAACCTCCCAAAGGAGAAGCGCCGATCAACTAACAGCGGAGGACGGCGGAGTCCCTTAACGTGTGTGGGGGATGTTTCCAATCCAAAGAGCCGTACAGGGATGTCTGCTGTTACACGCGGCGGCGACCACGGACGCAGGGTGTGGTAGCCGCCGCCCCCGCCACCACCACAGCCGCACTCAGCCTGCCGCCCAAGCAGCATCAGCATCAGGTTCAGCACATCTCCAAGGTGACGATTTGCAGTACTCCGCTGCAACAGAAGTGGTACCACCGCGGGTTGGCTCTGCACCAGCCCCATTTCATGACAACATTACCCCTCCCCCTCCGCCTCGGAAGCCCCAGCCGAGAGGCGATCTGCAGCTGCTGTCCCACACATCAGCAGCAACACCTGGCAACACTTAAGAGCCCATCTGCAGCAGTGACGACCACCCCACAGCCACGAAGACGAGGCGAAACTCCGAAACAAGACTGCTCTCGCGGCTGCCTAGCTGGCTGGCTAGAACCGGCTGACAGAGAAAAAGAGCAACGAGGTAATTGATTGATTGGGACTACTGGGGCGGGGTGTACTTAGATGAGCGGGCGCTTGTCCCATGACTCCAGGGGCGGCAGCCACCTGTGGCGGCTGGTAGACTCGCCGACCTTCCATCCAGGAACCTGCAGCAGAAAGGATGGTATACGACGGAAATGAAAAGTGCACATGTCCCCACAGCCCAAACCCAGGAGGAAAAGGTCCCGTGTTTAACCCGCCGAAATCAACCGCAACCCCAGAGAAACCCACGTTCTTCATGATCTTGGCCTCCTCCTCCCGCTCCTTGCGCAGATGCTCCAAGTACCTGCAAATAGAAAGGGCAGTGCTGTGTAAGGCCGCGACCGACTGCTGACAGTGGGGAACACGAGCGCAAACGAGGGGCCGGGGAGGCTGCCTAAGCTCGGTAGGCTGCCTGTCCAAAGCTTCAAAACCTAGAAATTTCTTGGGCATGTTCATGCCGTGATCGAGACCCCGATGCCCCGCACCTGAGGTCCCATTCCGCTTGAACGACGGGTTGCACAATCCTCCGCACGGTGAGAATCTCATCAGCCTCAAACCTGTGTACTCACATGTGTTAAACCATGATGCTTTATATGCCAAGCACTCAGGCAAGCATGCCCCTCGTAGCGTACCTCTTCACCTGACGCCGCTCGCTCAGCTGCGGACCAGGAGGGCGCATTGCACGGTTCAAAAATGGACAATTAACAGCTTTCACTGCTGCCATTCTGCACTGACCTTGTAAAATCCATAGCCCATAATGGCAGCGAGCCCCGCAAAGATGGCGACACCCGTTGGGCCCGTGTTGGGAAGACGGCGTTCTATACGGATGGAAGGAAAGCCTCCAGGAGGTGGCGCATCTTGCACAATGCCCATATCTTTGACGCTCTGCGCAGCGCCGATACGCCGATGTGGTCATCTTTGGAAAGAAACAAGTGGACATGCAATACTTTTACACCTTCATGCCGGGAAAGCCCCGCTTCAAGACCTCCGTCATCTTGTCAGAACTTAGGGCCACTCAGGCCCCCAAGCTCGTAGTCTGTAGGAAGGACTAAGCGCAACCTCTAATATCCTAGAAGTTTTCCACCTATCCTGCAGACTACACTTAGTAAGCTGAAACGTTTCAAAATGTGCACAGGAGGCAAAGAAAGGCCAATGATTGCCGTACAGTGCGGACGAGCTCAAAAGCCTTAAATCCTAGCGCTATGGCTTACACAGCTATCCCTTTGCATAGCAAACTCATGAAACGGCAGTGGCTTCAACTACAACCTGAATCACAGAGCACCCGTCATTCCGGGCCCTTGCGTACCTAAATCAGCTTTCAATACTACTCAATCCCGCCCTGTCGGGGACCTGACAGCGCTGAAGGGGGTTTGCTTTCGGACATGTAACAAGCATATGCATAACTTCTTGAAGGGAAAAAGTAGAGCAAGGGGTCTCCGGGACGCAACCCCCGAAACACCGCTCAACTCGACGGCCTTCTCAACGGTCACGCGTTGCCCTAGAACTGGGTTCAGCAAGCAAGGCATAACTCATGGACAAGCCTGGCACACTACCTCTGGCGATATGCTATTATAAGCCAGGATGAGGAGTTAAGCAGTAAAAGGGAACCACACAGGCACCCCTCGAGGAAGGTTCGACCTCGCCGAGACTACATTACAAACCTTGCCCGGCACACCGCCTGGTGTATGGAAGCCGTCCTTAACCATGCTTCATTCACACTTCTATGCTGTGTGGGTAACAATGTGGCTGGAAACCTGTTTAATATGAAAATGTTGTCCAACCCATCTCCATGGAGGTGCATGTCACAAGCGTGTATATCGTGGCCTGTCTGGAAAGGTAGGGGCTGTTGTTGTCGTTCAGTGTCATACATGAGGCTTGTTTGTGTTTATGTGTGAACTTCATGCACACACAGCCTGGGGCCAACAATATGGATGGAGCCCCTGCAACTGAAAAACTAAAACCCAAAAATGGCATGAGGGTCCTTTTATGGGTTTTACATTTTCCCACTATTTTAGATAAATTTGCAAAAACATGGGTTTCCCCCTTCACTAGCGATCAAAGAATCAAGTCAGTTCATGCAAAACACATGATAAGCATCCCTTTGATTTACGTTATGCATGGATACTCGTTATGGGCGGTGCCTCAAAGATTTGCTGTACTTCTGGGAGCTGTGAATGGGCAGCTAGGGTGTCTCACTCCCCGCCGCCTAAAGGATGCGCATGCACAGCAGCTGCGGCTAGGGAAAAGCGCTAATCCAGTCACCAAACGGCCTTCCGTAATGGCCGTTCAGTAAGCACAAGTTGCAAGTTGGTCGTCTGCACGGGTTTCTTGCACCATGTGCGGGCTGGTTAGGAGTTACACCTTGTATACTTCATGTATGTGTACGATAATTAGGACATGTAATTGCGGGCCTTTGTCGATTTCTGGACTGGAACAGGCAGAAGATTACTCCAGGGAACCTGTACATGGGTTTCATTTCTATTGTCAGCACTTTTAGCCTTCTGGGTGTATTTCCAGTGCGGATTAAGGCCAGGGGTTAGGGCACGGAAGTCCTTGGTACGAGCTAGGGAACCAAAGGTTGAAAAGGCGAGGTAAGTTTGCCAACAACTTAGCCGTTTGGGCAAGTATCGATGGAGGACAGAGGGTTAATCCGCGACGTTAATCCGCTGTGGAAATACACTCTCAGTCACCATGTCCGTGCATGTCCCTTTTGCACGGGGCATTTTATGCGACGCTCTAAATGAGGCGCCTGTTGTGGCGCCTGTCCCCTAGCAAAGTCCCAGGGGTTTCTTTCCGTGAAGTTCCCCGGTGGCAAACCTGGCCCGCGTCATGCGTCGAGTCGAACATGCGCTTGAGCAACGATCAGGACCGTTTGGCTCTTTGCACGCTCGTAAGATTGTTCTAGAGTCGAGGATCGAAGCGAGGGTCTAAGAAGAAACTGTGAAAGTCAGAACAAGCATGCAAGCAGCATACTGGGCGCAATGATACCTTACTTTTTGGTTGTACGGGTACGGGGATGCCCTACAGTTAGAAACTGGTTCGCCGCGATAGTTTGATACAAAGGTGGTCCAAGTGTAGCTGCACTGCTAAGCAAACTCTGTTTCAAAATACGCGGGAAACGTCTTACACAACAAACTTTACGTCTCTCGAGCCTGCAGGCTTACCATCTAAGGTCCACTACTAGTTGTTCTTGGTACTATTGCTTACTTTATACTTGATCCCAGGAATGGCAGAAACCGTTACAGGTGCGCAACCTAGCGTCCATGTGGCTTTGTAACGCAGCTCATCGACCCCGCGCGCGCCTTGTAGATGCAAAAGCCGCTTTCAAGCGGAGTATGTCGCTAAAGGTGGACAACCCAACAACAGACGTGGTAAGTCGTGATCGGAAAGCTAGCAGGGGGCCCCTGATGTCCAGAAACTCCGTTAGACGATGTGTTGTTCGGACCTACCCCATAATCGACTCTCCGTCGTTGTTCCCAGTATACTAAATGTGCCGCTCGTGCAATCTATGTGCTGTCCGAGTAATATTTCATTGTTATTACTTGGCCCGCCAGGGTGATAGGATTAGTTCGGTCCCTTTCTGATGGAGCAAGCCGCGCCTCCTCTTAAGGGCGTAAGGCTTATTTTTACCTAATTTCATGTTGTCCGTTGGTTCATGGCAGCATCCGGGGTAGCGGCGGTTGAGACATGGCAGCGCGGCACCCCAACATTTCAGAAGCCGGAAGGCCGGCGGAGAGTACGCTCACACACGGGAAAGCACGCTGGCCCACCAATCCGCTGCCTCCGTTCCTCCATTCGCCTGGCGTCCTGTGCGGGCTTTGGCCACCCCAACCTCGACCACGTGCTGCTTCCCCCCTGTCACATCCATCCACTCCCCGCGCCTTGCTGGTGTTGCTATCCTCCACCCCACTCGCCTCCATTCGCAGACTGAGGCAGAGCCCGAGCCGGAAGTAGACGTCGCGCCCACACCCACTGCTGCAGAGCTGGATGCTACTTTTGAAAAAGAACTCGAAGGTATGAGTCTACCTAGCACATCTTCCTCGCATCCATATCTTGGCGTGTTTGCTGCGATTGGGAGTACCGTTTGCGTGCGTGCTTTCGAATGTCATACGAGCACGGGTACGGACGTAGGGCCTGGTCAGCTTGAGAACTGATGAGCAATGGGTCCGCTGTGTGCTTTTACATCCCGCCCATCTCCCATTTCCACCACCGTTATTTCCAAACCCCCCCATCCGCAGCACTTCAAAAATCTGCCGAGGCCGACAAGAAGTAGGGTTGTGCTTGTGTATATGTATATCTGTGTACACACGAGCAGAAGCTCAGGGCAAGCGGTATGTGTGTGCTGCTCGTCTGTAACACGCAACGTGCTTTTCAGTAACCATTCATCATCAGCGACGAGGGGCTTTCCGTCCCTTCCTAGGGGGCTGGGCAGGCAGGCTGAGGACACCGTACGTATGTACGGCAGGTGATGCTGTCGCTAGGGGAAGTGAATATGCAGAACTGTGAGAGGCTTGTGAGTGGCTAGGAGGGAGCTTCTGGTCGGTTGAGGGGCTTGTGGTTGGTAAGAGTTTGGCTGCTCGGTTAAAAGAGTGGTGATGGGAAGGGTACGGGTAAAGAGGTGGGTGTCGGTAACACCCGGGGCGGGGGGCGAAGGTTGCGTAGGGCTGAATGGATGCGCACATGTTTTGGTGTGTAAGCTGACGTTAAAAAGCCAATTTTGTTGCCTGCTGTCGTCGTGTCGTCATGTCCTCAAGGTGCAGCGTTCCTAAAATGATGCAAAGACCTGATGCGGCCTAAGGCATGTCTAGTGAGCCCTGCTTGGATTGATTGTCAACTTGCATGCGCATTTTTTAAATTGGAGAAAAAAGTGCGCTTTATACCGTAACATGCGTCTTGGCGCTTCCTTTCAGCTGCAGCACGAGTTACCCCTCGGATGAGAATCTCATGAATCACTTTCTTGTGGCTTGGTTATGCTGTTGTCGCTTAGCCGCTAGCAGTCGGTACCTGTTTCTCAACAGTCCGTGGGACCTGTTTTATTTGCTGTTGGTGGACACCATTGCCTTGCACGATGTGGGTTTGGCTGTTTGTTGACGTCAGTCTGACGGTCTGGGGGGTGTTTCCGGTTGGGTCGACCCGGGATTCTATTGCAGGGGGGTTGTTGCGCCGGCTAGCCGTGACTGCAGTAGTATGTCATTTCGTTCGGATTGGGCTGCATGTGGTGGTACGCCATCGCAGTGGTGGTAGGCCACACTCTTTGGCACTCGGCCCGCCGGTATTGTCATCGTTGTTGTGTATCGTACGTAAGTACGACCTCATAAGAGTGACCGCAGGGCTGGCTATCCTTTCCACATTTTTTTACGGTCATGTACAGTAGACTGCCCCTGCTCACCGGTGCCGTCGCAAGCACAAGCATAATCGGGCTGACGAGAGTTGGTTGAAACTAAACAAGGCAGATAGCAAAATTAAATACCTCTAGCCTCAATCGCGCCGACAGCAGTAGTGTATAACAAAGCCTGCTGTAGTCAAAGTCATCTCCCCTCTGGTTGGATGCGCCATGGTTTGCCCCCATGAATACATTGCCCCACCTGGCAGCGCCCCCCCCTGCAGCCGTATGTTTCTCATCACCCTCGATCCGCCCTCGATCCGCCCTCGATCCGCCCTTATCCGACCAGAAAACTGACCCTCCCTAAGCCCTCTTCCAAACCGCCACCTCACACACTCCCAAGCGCCAAAGTCGCCCGGCTAGTTGGCCTGGCTAGCCTTCCAGGCATCTCGCGCGCTGCCCCCGGGACCATCCACGATCCGCGGCCCCCGCAACGGCTTGATTACGGCAGTCCGCGCCATCGCCGCCAACACGACACAGAGAGTACCCCAAATCAGCGCATAGTTGCGGTGATCGCCCGGCATGGTGCTGAAACGGAGGAGGTCGGATACGTACTTGGGTAGTGGGTAGTCGGGCGCCGCGGAGGGGGAGGTGGGAGCGTCACTGCCTGCTGCTGGCCCCGCGGCAGCGGCAGCGGCGGCAGCGGCGCTGCGCGCTTCCGCCAGCGGGGAGCGTTTCTGTACGGCTTGCGAGGCGGCGGGGTCGGTTGATACGGCCATGACGAGCGGCGTGTCGGGTGGCAGACCCAGCGCACGTGCCTGTACATGTACGGCACATGTACGGATATACGACGCAACAGGGTGTTTTTAGCGCCCTCATCCTGTCAGGCACGGTGTGTACTAACATCCGCGAAAGTGAGGTTACCGTACATCATAGAACGTACATACAGTACGGCGATCAGCAGCAGCAGACTAAACGCCCCTTTCACTCGTCGAAGAACCGACGCAAAAGCACAGTATCGGCACCTCGCCACATTTACCTTCTTCACACACACACACACACACACACACACGCGCACACACGCACACACACATCCAGCTGTTCCGCAGCCTAGATCCCATATCCCGACCCGCTCTTGTGGGTCTGGTGCTTATCCGCGAGGGGGTCCGCGGGGGGGAAGGGAGTTCCATCCAGTCCTAACTAGGGCTCACCATCGTTTCCCGTTGTATGAAATGGAACTCCTCAACCTCCGCCCTGTTGGCCGGCATGAAGCTGCTTGGCTGCTCGTCGTACTGAATAACGCCCACAACCACCTCAGGCTCCGGAACCACCTTGGGGGGTTGGGGCTGCGCTGGTTGTGGTTCGCTTTGGGCCGTGCTTTTCCCCCTGCCGCCACCAAACCAGCTCCTCCACCAACTTCGACCAGCCGCGGCGGTGGGTGAGTGGGTTGCGGTGGGTGGGGTAGCTGCCGGCGCCGGCGCCTTCCGCTCTGCCTCCTCTGTCGATGCTCGTAACTTGGCTGCCGCCTTCGCCTCCGCCTCCTCCTTCCAGGTCTTAGGAACCCAGCCGCGGTTGACCAGCACCACGCCCTTCCTGCAATTACGTAAGAGTGCAGTACAATCACGGCAACCCTGCCAACTCAGTCAAACCCAGCCTTCCATTAATATAATACCACATGCCTTCATGCAGCAGCCGTTTCACCCGGCCTTTCCTAAGCCCCGTACGACAGCCCCGTCGAGCCGTACGCGTACCTGTCCGCACTGACCATGGGCGTGACGACAAGGTAGCCGGCCTGGATCCCGGATTCCGGCACGCTGCAGACCAATGAAAAATCCGGATTCAAAATTGCAAATCTCCAGAAGAGAATCCAGGATTCGGCAGTTAGTGATGGGGCCGGAGTGGTCCAAACGGTGAGGTGGGGCGGCGGTTAGGTTCCCATGGGATATTTTCCCAAAGGGAAATCCCCAATCGTTACCCAATATTTCCCCGCGAAAAAGAACACGAAAGCCAGAAGTTGCGCGGGGAAAGGTGGCAGTAGGAATGAGGGACGGAAAGGATGGCACGCGCAAACTCTGAACCACGGTGCAGGCCCCCGAGCGGGACTGCAGGTGGTGTGTCGGGACATCAGCTTCTCGGGGCCCTCTCCCGCCATTACTCCTCTCCATGGGCAGCCTCACCCCCAGGCGTTCTGGAACACTGCCCCGGCACGCACCTGCGCGGTCTCGGACCCACATACAAACTGTATTCGTGCAGGAAGCGCCCTCGGACCAGCACCTTGTCATACTCCTTCAGAGGTTGCTGCTGGTCCCTGTCCCTATCTGCAAAGATGTCTCTGGCCTCCGCATCTGATATGCCGGCTCGCAGACGAATGAGCTCCTCCTGATTGATAAAAGCAAAAGGGGAGGGAAAGGGGAGGGAGAGGGAAAATACAAACCGCGCCCGTACGTCGTCTATGTATCCGGCCCAAGAGCACCTTCCATTTCATCCTTTCGTACTGCCAATATGCCAGGCATCCGCAGACCACGCTGGGGATGAACATCACAGCGGAAAAAGGGCTCCAAGCGGAATCTCCTGATGAGCCCGCGGTTCCAGCCCGCCCGGCGCTTCCCATAGCTGCTGCTGCTGCCGATGTCGTTGCATCAGCCGACCAGCATCGAAAGCTGCAGCCCCCAGCCGTAGTGGTACATGGAAAATATATGTTCTCCTTGGATGCCCGTGAACATATACGTAAAGCGCTGAGGCCTCTCGAAACCAGCCTCCGCATCTTCGGTTCCGGCCGGGGTAGGGGATCGAAGTTGCGCAGCCTCGGGAGCTAGGCCAAGGAAAAACGTATCAAAGGCCCGTATATTCTTGATTGGCAAGACTGGTAAGGGCAAGGAACTCCATCCTGTGCTGTGTCGTATCCCGAGTGCCATTGCATTGGTCAGTCCATGTTTAGTTACTTTTTTGCAACGTACGTATCCAACTTTGTGGATATATAAATTTATATCTATCTGGTGCGTTAACGAACTCATATGACTAGTGAAAGTTCTGCTATAGAACTCGTCGCAACATATACGATGGTTGCACGCCCACGGGAGCTTCTTCGGGAGCTGCGCGAAGGGAAGGAAGTAGTAAAGGCTCTAAAAGCCATAAAAAATCAGGTGATAGGAAACAAGTACAAGAAGAACATTTTCATAAGCGAGGGAGCTGTAGAGGAAGTCTTAGGGGTCCTACGGAATGCAAGGAGTGTCAAATTTCCTGCGGACCAAGCGGATGCTGTTCAGCAGCAGGCGGCAATCGTCATCGGCAGCTTAAGCCTTAGCGATACTGGACTCCGAAAGCTTATACGTCTTGAGGGCTTACCGCTTTTGGTAGCGATGCTGCACAGCGGTGATGAGGCGGTCGTCGAGGCAGGCCTTTGGGCCCTAAAGATGGCCGTCCAACAGGTACGCCCTATGGATCCCGGCGTATCTCTTTTTGAATTCCCTTACCGTCGTACATGTTGTGCGGTCTACAGCTGTCTTGGTAGCAAGGTTGGGGTATGCTGCAGTCAATTGACACTTCCGTGACGAGAGTCGATGAGTTCCGCAGCTCAACCTGGTCGGGGTTACATTGCGTTCCCTTAGATTCCGCCCTGTCCGTCTGGATTGGACCAGAGCTGGATATTACAGCGCTCGCACGTCCTGCACCGTCTGCTCCCCTTCCATAACTTACATCATGCCACCGGCGTAAGCTATCCATTCGGACGGCACGCCCGTACCCCTCTCTCATTGCTGAGCCCTGTTCCTCTCCGACACCGAGGCCAACTCCTCCTTATACCAATTCCTATCCACTTCCTGCACATCCAACTCTTAGCTCGCGCCATTTTCTGCAGCGTGGCCGGGTTTTCCGCCCTGCACGCGTGTCAGCGTTTTCCACGTACCTTCCAGTAAACCCCTTTCCTTAGTCGGCTTATTATTGGTAACCGCTTCCTCCCCCATACCTACTTCCCTTCCCTACCGCGCGCCACCTATGTCACCCGACAGTCTTCATGTACTCCTTCTTACCTCGCCAACCCTCCGCTTGGAGGCAACACCGGGGCCGACACTACCACCACCCCCACACCCATCCTAGCTGCTGCCCAGACCGCAGCGGCGGCTGCCGCGCCGACGCCGGCGGTGCGCCTCGACGCTACCGCCATGTCGGCTGTCGTACGCTGCCTCACCGCCGGCGCCGGCGCCAGCAGCGGTGGAGCGGTTTCGGAGCCTGGGAACGCAGCTCGTGCGTCAGTGATCGCGGGGTTGGCTGCGTCTGTTGTGGCTTGTTGCTGCCGGCGAGAGGAGGAGCGGGATTTGGCCCTGGCAGCGGGGGCTCCGGAGGGGCTGCTGGGGCTGCTGCTGGCGAGTGAGCGGCCTGACACGCAGGCACGTGCAGAGGGTATATGCATGCATATGTATATGTATATGCACGCCTATATGTATATAGGCGTGCAGGGGACATATCTGTGTGTAAGTGTGTTTACTGGAGAGGGTTTGTGTGCAGCTGGGAGGGTGCGTGGGGCGGGACGGCTGATGTGGCTGGGATGGGGGAGGGCTAGGGGGGGTTTTGTGATCTCCCAGAAGCTGACTGGGATTTGGGTATTGTCCTTTTGTCCTGGGCCTTACGAGGACTGGGGAGACGCGGCTGCGGCTGCATCATGTGCGGCCTCAGGGGTCTCAGAGAACCTTGGGGGGCCGTATGGGACCTGACGGGGGGGAGCCCCATCTGTGTGCATCACATCTTATGATGCATTACCACATAGATACATACACACATACGTACATACATGCACACACACAATGCGTGCACACATGCATCGTTTTCAGGACGGGATGACCCCTCTCTCCCCCGCGGGGCTCCCTCACGGAACAGGTGGCGGCGCTGGAGGGCCTCTCGTTGATGCTGCCGTACCAACCGACCGCATGTGCGGTAGCGCTTGCTCGTCCAGAGGTGTACGACAAGCTCCTTTCGTTTCTTCGCGATCCTGCTCCGTCTGTTCGCCTACTTGCCGCCAGCTGCGTGGCCACTCTGAGCGGAGTGACGGGGTGCGAGCAGTCGGAGGTGGGTGGCTGGGGCGGCGGCGGCGGCGGCGGCGGCTGGGGGTAGGGGTGAAGAGGCCTGAAACTAAAGTTCTCCTTTAGGGGAAGAACCCAAGGGCGATGGGTGAAGGTGGCGAAGATCAACTGGTCCGCGACGGTCTGGTTGGTTGATGAAGACACGGCGGTGGCTGGGGGTCAGGGGCCGAGAGAGACTGTGCTAGTGCTGGGAGGAGGAGGAGGAGGAGGGAGGGTAATCATATGCATGGAAATTATTCGAAATGAACTGCCGGCCGGAAGTTTCCGAAGTCCGAAACTGCTGGGGAAAGGGGGAAGGGGGGAAAGGGGGGAGGGGGGAAAGGGGGGAGGAGGGAAGGGGGGAAAGGGGGGGGCCACCGTACCTCTTCTGGCCACACGCAGTGCGGCCTTGTGTGATATGTTGGAGGGGGGGGCCCTCTCGTGACCCTAAGCCATCCAGCCTTCCTTGAGTAGCGCCCTTAACAGTCCCACCTGACCGATGTACTCTGCCGTGTACTGCTTTCGTACGTTGCTATGCACATCGCTGTACGTGGGTTCGTAAAGGTCGCGCGGTAACCTCTCCACCGCCGCCGTGCAAGTCCTGACATCATAACTAACGAAAAACGACGGGCGTTCCAATCACTGTAGCGTATTTAGCGGCACGAAGAAGATTTCTTCACTTGAAACCGCCGCCCCCCCCCCCGGGTATGTTGTGATGTGCTTTCCAGGCCATGCAGCGTGCCGCGCTGCCGGTGCTGCTGCGTCTGCTCGTCCAACCCACCACTCGGTCGCACGTGCCGGGTGTCCTGGCCCGGCTCATCGAGGGCAGCGAGGCCATGCAGAAGGCCGCTGCTGACGCGGACACTGTACGACTGCTGGCGGGGCTGCTGGCGGCGGAGGCCGTCGCAACGGTGACAGCGCCAGCGGCGCCGCCGCCGACGGCCACCACGGCGTCACGGCTCGCCGCCACTGCCGCCGCCGCCGTCGCTGATCCTTCCTCCTCTGCTTGCATCGTCAGCTCCCGATTGCGGGAGGGTTGCCTTCGAGCGCTGGGCAGTTTGTGTCTCAACCGGGATGAAAGCCGCAAGCAGCTTCTGGAAGCCAAGGTATATACGGCAATACATTTTTATTACGCGATATCGTACGGGATTGTTTGGTTTTTTTTCTTAAGTTTCTGAGCTCTCCTGCCACTATTACTTTGCAGGATTTCCTTCTCCTAAAATTTGAATTACGGTGCCCCACCACCTGCATCTAGATCTTCTTGGTGGGTGTTGGCACATACCATCTACTACAAAGTATGCAGCAGCTGTTTCGCAACGAGCCTTACATGTTTTCCCCTTCCTCCGTACTCCTGCTTTACTCCCGGACTTCTTCCCCTTCCTCACTTTGTCACTACCAGCTATAGGCTGTTTGATTACTCTCTCTCTCTCTCTCTAAGGCGTCCTTTGAAGCGCGCCGACTCCGATATTGCATCCTCCTCTTGGTCTCTTTCCTTAAGTCCCAGACCTCCCTCCCCCCCTTTTCTCCCTTCCCGCCCCCCCTCTCCCCTCCCCCGCACCGTGCCGTACAGGTTATCCGGCACATCGTCAAATCGCTGGAGGACCCCAGCGGGGCGGTGCGGGCGGCGGCCGCTCTGTGTGTCCGAGCCCTGACCCGCTGTGTCCGTATACTGCGGGGGGGACTACTGGAGGGCGGGGGGGAGCTGGCGCCGCAGCTTGTACGACTGCTGGATGACGAAAACATTGACGTACAGGTGGGCTGAGGTCTTGGCTCTGGTTTATGTGGTTGCGGGTGGTTTGTACTTGTACTCCCCCAACACCACCTGGTGCCGCCGCCTCGCCAGTATCCGTCTCTCTATATCCCCCCCCCGGGTAGCAGCAGCAGCCGCCGCAGCAGCAGCAGCTGGTTCAAAGCCGCCTGTGGCTCGTGTTTCCCGGCCGTCGATACCACCTGACTTACGCTGCGTTTCCCCCCCCCCCCCCTCGCACCGTACTCCGCGGCCACCACATATTTTCCACCGCCACCAACTTGAGGATTTCAGAGCAGCGCCGCCGCCGCAGTGTGTAACCTGGTCCTGGACTTCTCCGCCGCTAAGTCTGCCGTACTGGGTGCGGGGGGTTTGAGCAAGCTGGTCTCACTGGCCTGCAGCGGGCCCTCCTCGCCCGCCGAGCTGCGGCACCACGCGGCCTGGGCGCTAGCCAATTTGCTGTACAGGGCGGATGGCGGACTGAGGTCGCAGATGATGCAGGTGCGGGGAAGCGCGTGTGTATGTATGTGCGTGTATGTATGTGCGTGTATGTATGTGCGTGTATGTATGTGCGTGTATGTATGTGCGTGTATGTATGTGCGTGTATGTATGTGCGTGTATGTATGTGCGTGTATGTATGTGCGTGTATGTATGTGCGTGTATGTATGTGCGTGTATGTATGTGCGTGTATGTATGTGCGTGTATGTATGTGCGTGTATGTATGTATATATGTATGTATGTGTGTATTGGGGTATTGTTCGCTATCCCGCTTACAACCATTCCATTTTCCACCTCTTTACTTCAAGTAAAAAGTGTACATTTTAGGTAAAGCTCTTCGCTCTCCGAATCTCTCTACCCCAAACCACCTACCTCTCACGCCCCCTCAACCCCCCCCATACACACACACGCGCGCAGGCTCTTCCCTGGCCCCGCATGCAGCAGCTGCTCTCCGACAGCAACCCACGGGTCGTTGAACAGGCCCTGGCCATTCTGCGGAACCTGTGTATGGGGGACCGACACCACATTGCGGCGGCGATGGAGTGGGGGGGTTGTGGGGGCGGAGTGGGTGGGGGGGGTAGTGGGGGGGTGGTGTCGGCATCAGAGGAGAAGGGGGAAGGATGCGGCAATTTACTAGATGTGCTTCAAAAGAGAATCCTGGCGGCTGCTACTGCTACTACCACTACTACCACTGCTGGTACTAGTGCTAGTACTATTAGTAGTGGTGATGGTGATGACGATGTGGCTGTGGACACATCCCCTTCTCCCTCTTCTGCAACTGCAACTGCAACCGCGCCAGCTCCCACCTCCTCCTCCACCGCCGCCGCCGCCGCCCACACGGCCATCCAGACGGCCGCCCACGCGCTGTACGCGGTGGCCAACATGCTGACCGGCGGCCCCGCCGTGAAGAACCAGGTGGCCCGCAGGCGGCCGCTGATGGAGGCGGTGGTGACGCACCTGCGACCTGAGACGAGGGAGGAGCTCGCGCTGCCGGCGGTGTGGTGCGCGATCAATCTGACGTGGCGAGCTGCCGGTGGTGGGGGTGGAGCGGATCGCGAGGGGCAAACTGAGCATGAGGCCGTGTCGGCCAGGTGAGGGGTTCCCACAGTTGGGGATGAACTAAAGTTCTCCTTTAGGGGAGGGAAAGAGGGAAGTTAGGACGGTGTGGTGGGGGTGGGGTGGGGGGCTGTTGTAAGTCGCATTGGGGTGTGTGTACGTGGTGATGGGAGGCTTGATGAGAGGGGTGCGGAGATGATGGACATGATTGCCTTTGCCCAGTTGTTTTGCAGGGTGTGGCAGTACGGCTGTGTATGATACACACGCGTCTCTCTCGTCGCGTGGAGGCGGCTGTCTCCAAAGTACATGATGAAATCCCCCCCACCCGCAGATCCCCTCCACCATAGCCCTCCGGCCCGCAGTGCAGTGCCGGCCAGCAGTCGTACAATGTTGCTGTGAACGTCTGTGCAACGGTCGAACACCTTGTGGCTTCTTCCTCCTCCTCCTCCTCCTCCTCCTCTTCCTCTTCTTCCTCCTCCTCCTCCTCCTCCTCTTCCTCTTCTTCTTCCTCCTCCTCCTCCTCCGCTTCTTCTTCTTCTTCTTCTTCTTCTTCTTACATCACATGAGTCTCCCCCTACCCTCTGTAAGCCAACCCAACCCCAAACCTCCACCCCCACCGTCCCGCCTCTTCCCCCAGGTGCCGTGCTCTTGCCGAGGTGGGGGGTTTGGAGCTGCTGGACGAGCTGAGCCGCCGCCACGGCTCCAGGGACGTGCAAGAGAGGGCATGTACGGCACTGGAGCAGCTCCGGAATGGACTGGGGGGCAGCACAGCGGCGGCTGCTGCTGCGGGGGGTCTAGGGGGGGCCCCGCAGCCGTGATTGCGGTTCAAAGCTTATGATGCTCTTACGTGGGTTGCAAGAATGCACCCAAGGATATACTCCTTGCCTATCAGATGTACAGTACATTGCAGTACTGTTCCGTACGAATGTAGAACAAGCAGAGTCCGGAAGGGAGTGGGAACGAAAGACTTGTCAACACTGCGACCCGGTGCGGTGGGGAGTGTGTTTCAGGGTATGTGTGTTTTGGGTGCATATGCTCAATAGAAACGATGTGGTTGCGGACTGTCATAGGCTGTCAGTAATAAGGGAGTAATCGGAGCGCAGGATGTTGCAAGGCAGGGCGAAGTGCAGGGCCCCAGTAGGGGGTGGTGGCGAGCGTGAAAGCCTAACGCGAGGTAGCTGTAAAAGCAGGAGGCGTGACACACACACACACACATACACACTGTGGGGTGATGGCTGCGAGAACGGTGCCGATGGTAGTTCAGGTGGTGGTGGTGGTGGTGGTGGAGGTCTATTATATCACGAGCTCGCCTGTATGTGTGATTGCAGTGCCTTTGCACACGAGGGCAGCTGTGGGTGCGCGTGTATGTGTGTTTCAGTAGCTGAGCCGCATGTGTACCTAGGTACATACATACATACATTCGTACATACACATGTAGGAGCATTCAGAGAGCCGTGCAAGTGGTCAGGTACGCCTGTCGGTTGGATGATGGGCGATGGGGAAGGGTCCGCACCAGGGTTTCGATATCCCCCGCTTTAGGGTTTATTGCGCATCTTATCCTACAAAACGCACACGTTGCAGAGTGTTGAGTCGGAACACATCATCCAGGCGCCGTGTGGCAAAACCGCATCAAGATGAAAATGAAAAGATTGCTCGCGCCTGGACATACATGCATACGTCCATCTGCCGCAGGCATATACCCGCCACCACCACCACCGGCTACCTAAAAACATGTGCCACGGACGGGACTTTTTACGTACATTTCCATCAGTTCATCCACCCCGACACACACTCACACACACACAATCTTTCTCATTAGCTCTCGTCTTTGTGGGGAAGGCGGAAGGTCCCGCAAAGTGCGCTGCAGCTTGACCCCTACCACCTACTCCCACCGCAACATGCACCCCAGGCTTCGTGACTGCTCCCTGAACCCGGTCCGTCCCTCCGTGGGCCGCAGGTATCGGTAGATAGGCAAACAACAGGCCGCAACGCCTGGTGCGACAACACAAGACATGCACACACACACAAACACATACACACCTCTCATCACAATCCGAAAGGTTGGCTACACACATACATTGTGAAAAGAGTTACAACAACATTTAGCCGAACAACAGCACGGCAAGTACAGGAGCAGTATAGTAGTAGACGGTGAGTAGGAGAGATTAGGAAAAAGTTTTTCACTTCCGCTTTGATTTCCGGCAAGCTGGCCGCTGCTGCAAGACCTCCATTTTCCTTCACCATTGCTAAATTAGTGATAGGTGGCTGTACAGCATGCAGCTACCTAAGCAACATGTTCATTTCACGGCTGCCGGAGATAAACGCATCGACGAGAGAAGAGCCATCAGCCCCACGGCCGCCGCCCCAGCAACACAGGGTCATAAGAAGCAGGCACCCTAGCCCAAGTCTCTCACCCGAACCTCAGGCTATGGGAAACCCCGTTCCTCCTCTTCAAGCGCACCTTCAACAGCCGCTTCGATACAAGCTCGTAATGGAGGACCTCTCAGGCGGCTGTTCTCCTTTGTTTGTTTGTTTGGAACGAAGGGTTTTGGAATAAACGGTTATCTCAATAACACCATTATTCCCATCATCACCATACCACCATCACGTGTGGACATATACCCCATGTAACACACGTGACGCACACAGCCCCCCGGCATGTGTGTGCATGTATGTATGTATTGTGACAGGTAAGACACAAGAGTTGAACCACTGGGGCCGCCGCCGACGCCGAAGGGAGAATCACAACATACATGGAGGGGGGGGGGAAGATACACAACCCCGGGCGACCAACAACAATAACACCAACAACAGCAATAACGGAACCGACTACCGTGTGTGCCTGTGTGTGTGTGTCTCTGTGTGTGTGCCGCCGGGCAATACCACCCGAGCCGGCTGCCCTGCTGCTGCTCCGACCGACACTGCTCCCAATGTCGACGCCTCCCCTGCCTCCGCTGCCTCGGCGGGCCCTACACTCGACAGGCACTGCATCACACCACCACAACCCACCGCCGACCACCACCACTGCAAGACAAGAGGAAAGTAGTCTGGCTCATCCTTCTCCTCACGCGGCGCCGCTGCTCATGGCGCGTACCGGATCGAAGTACGGGTGGTTGAGCGCGTCCTTGGACGTGATTCGCTCTTGGGGGTCGTACCGCAGCAGCTTGTCGATGAAGTCAATGGCCTCCGGGGTGGCGAGGTGCTGGTTGTCCGCGTTCACGAAGCGGGACCAGGGCTTGCGACTGTGGCTGCCCAGCAGTGCCTCCTGCTGCGGCTCCAGCTCCAACCCGAACTGTGCGGGGGTTGAGGAGCGGATTGAGGGTGCGGAACGCGGAAGGCGAGGAGGAATGAAAAACGGGGTGGGAGGGGACACAGAATCAGGAGAGGCGAAATGACTAAGGAGGTAAATGAGGTAAAACTAAAAAATATTTTGCAAACGAATCCTAAAATGGCTGAAAGCAGAAAGAGGGGCTCTCTCTCCTTCCTCCGACCACCGCGCCCCCGAGCTATCTCTTCTCCACTTTTTCCAAAGAGACAGTGCCCCCTCGCCCCCCACGCAAACACACACGCAAACAGCCCTTTACCCCCCGGCCCCCCCCACACACCTTGTCCAGGTACGCATGCAGGTCTGCAGTGCCCAGCACCCGGGCAATCTTGACCAGCTGATCGTAGTTATCATGGCCGAAGAAAAACGGCTCCTTTTTAAAGACGATGGCTGCCAGCATGCAGCCCAGACTCCACATGTCCAGGGAGTAGTCGTACAGCTGGTAGTCCACCAGCAGCTCAGGGCCCTTGAAGTAGCGCGACGCCACCCGAACGTTGAACTCCCGCTCCGGAAAGTAGAACTCCGCGAGCCCCCAGTCGATCAGCCGCAGCTGCCGCCGCGAGTGGTCGATCATCACGTTGTGCGGCTTCACGTCCCTGCGTGGTGGTCGGGTGGGTGGGTTGTGTGGTGGTGCTGGGGTTGTGTGGTGGCGCTGGGGTTGTGTGGGTGGTCGTCAGCATTCGCCCGTAACCCCCCTTCCCCGCAGGCTGACACCCCAGTACAGGCCCCCCCCCTCTTCCCCCCCTTCAAACTCCCATCCAACAGCCGCAGCCTCGCCTGTGCATGATGCCCATGCTGTGGCAGTAATGAAGCGCCTTCAGCAGCTCGTGGATGTAGTACCGGATGTCCAGATCCGTCAAAGTGGGGTACAACACCTGGTGGGGTGAGGTGGGTTGCGGTTGGGGTGGTTGGTGAGGTGGTTGGTGATGATTGAGTGGTTGGGCAGTTGTGGGTGGTAGTGATTGGGCGAGTGGGGGAAGGGGGAAATCATACGGACATACAGACAAAGGTGCAACATGTGTTAAGAAGGGAACTCAACTGCTGACGTCCTTTTCCTCCAGACCCCGACTTACTCACGATCCTCCCTCTGCCCCCTCAGCCCTGATAGGGTTTTAACAACACCCGCCAGGAACAGAACACTCGTGTGATTTCACAACCCTTGGGTCTCCACATAGGTCTCCACCAAAATCACGGCAGGAGGCTAGGCAACGCCGTACGCCCGTACGCCGTACCTTGAAGTCCGTGTTCTCCACATATTCGAAGATGAGGCTGGGAGTCCGGGAGTGCGGGTCCTTAACGATATCCAGGAGCTGTACGGAGGGCGCAGTACCGGGCAGTGGCGGTGATGTGAGGCGGTGATGCAGTAAGGGGGGGGGGAAGGAAGATCCCAACGGACTTCGACAAGGTCCCCACCTAGGCTCCTCCTCCTCTTTTCCCCCCCCTTGGAAGATGAGGAGCCCGGGCCCCCTCCCGGGGGGCGGCCCGGCGGCCACCGGCTGACAGCCCGCTGTGGCCCCCCCCCCTGCGCAGTCTCACCCTCACAGCTCATAAGCAGGGCAGCAGGGCAGTAAGGGTAAAAAACCTCTAGCGCAAGTGCGTTGAGCGGAGTTACGTCGGCATGCAGCCTTTGGGCTGGGGGAGGGGGGAATCTCCCCCATGTGCAGGACCAGCTGCCCGGAACGAGAGGTGGGGTTTAAGACGAACCAATTGGTGGATGAAGCATATACCAGAGATAGACGGGTAGAGGAAGGGGGGATTCATGTGGGAGAGACTCAAAAGAGGGAAACAGAGGAGGAAGGGCGGGGGAAAGGGGGTCTTGGCATGGAGGAGTGATGTATTGTTGGTGCGAACGGCTCCAGAATAGGTCGGACGAGGGCCCCCGCTTGGGACCTCCCTCAACCGCTGACCCTAGGGAGGGCAAAGGTTCTAATACTCGGCGGGTGCCGGAGTCCTACCGTGATGATGTTGGGCCCGCCCCGCAGATTCTGCAGGATTTTGACCTCGCGCAAAATTTTCTTCTTTTTCACCGGCTTGAGGATTTTTATGACACAGCGCGTTGGTGTCTCGCCTGCCACGTTGACGCCCTCGAAAACTTCGCTATACTTGCCCCGGCCGACTTTTCGGACCACCTGAAGTCAAAGTTGGGGTGTGGGGTCTGGAAGGTGCACGAACATGATGGTGACAGCCACCCAGCATGCCCTTGCATACTTGGACCCCTTACAACCCAGGGTAGGGTCCAATCTGCTGGATGCACTGCAAATTATTATTAGCTTGTATTCACCTCGTAGTGGTCCTGGTCTCCCCACGCTATGCTCAAATGCTCGTAGTCGCTATACTCGGGCTCCTTTTCGGTGCAGACGTCCGCGTAAATGCGGGCGCGATGAACGACCGTCTCATGGTTTGGTGGCATTGGCTAAGCCTAGACTGGCAGCCCGCACTGCTCTGCGGGCTGCGTCCCAAGCGTATGTCTCAAAATCCGTCCTACGATACTCCTATTGCTTTCTTAAACCCTACGTTAACAGCTAGTCATCGCTACGGCGGCCAGGACGTAAACAAGGACTTAAGGCCAGGGCTGCCGTCAGGGAACTTACGAACGATTCTTACTTTAGTACGAAGAGGGTTCTGAGGACGGCAATAGGTTCTAAGTCCTCAGATAAGAAGGACAATAACCTGTTGTGCTGGGCCCGAAATTGTATGCCGGACAGCCGTAGGTTTGGGGTAAGACGTGTTTCGTGCAAGCTTGACAAGACGACAACATCTTTCATTAGTTTCATCTTATACATCGTTTTGTGTAAGGCTGCATAGGGAACACTGTGTTGTCGTTGAAGAGACCTATGTCGCCCGGCGCGACAGCGCTGGGCTCGTTCGGCAGGTCGCGACCTGGGCCAATCTATAGCCATCACCTCTACAAGCAAGGACGGCTGCAGCTTCCTTTGCTGGTCGGCACCCCTCTCCCAGCAAGGGTGCGATGCGTTCAGTTATGGTTGACAAACGCAGATGGCGTCGTCCTCGCTGCGAATCCTTGCCCACAGACCCGGGTGGAACCCTGGCTCTGTGCAGGCCATCAAATGCTCTGTCCAGGTATCGGAGGAAAGCGCGCTGGCGCAGTCCTTTGAAAGCGCTTTCCTTCAAGCGCAGGAACAGCAGCAGCAATCGGACCAGCGGTCACGTACTCCGGGCCGTCAAACCGAAGTAAGCCCTCCGACACCCCCGACCAGCCCTTCCGACCTTACGTCCACCTTTCATGACCACTCTACCCATCATCATCTTGTACCGAAGTCACCACCCGCATGTGCTCGCTGCTCTAGATTACATCCCTTCCTACGAGCGCTCTCGCCAAAGGAAACACCTCATCAGTTGTTGTACGTAGCGGCTGCATACGGCATCTGGGTCAGGCCCAAAAGCCGGTTCCGGAGCTGGTCTCACCCAAAGTTTGAAATCACATCCCAGACCTTGCATCCCACGCCAAAGCGCTAGAGCCTTGGGAATCGATCGGCCAACCTGGACGATCAATTATGTTCACGTGCTTTTTCCAAGGGACCCATGGGACCTAAACGACCGTGCTTGCCCACTCTCATTAAGGGGGCTGCCTGGGGGGGGGAGTTAAGGCCAAGGCCGGGTGGGGGAGAGCGAGCAAAACACAGAAGGACATCACAACAGGCATCATTCATCCGCGAGCACATCCCCAGCAGCCCAACAGCACCATCATCGCCACAGCACCAACAGCGCCAACAATACATGAATGGGCGAGATGACGGTTTTATATGCAAGTGTGGCGGCGGCGGCGGCGGCTGGACTTGGGGAAGGTGGTGGTGGTGGTGGTGGTGGTGGTGGCAACGCCGCCGCAAGCGGTCTAAAAATGTTAGGGGAGAGCCGCAAGGACCAGGAGACCGCGGGGCAAAGCGTTTAATAAAGCCGTACTGATGCCGTACGTGTTTTCCCTTTCCGTACAGCTTCCTCCCGAGGATGAGCGCGAGCGTGTGTTTTTGGTGGGGGCGGCGATCAAGGGCGAGCAGCGGCGGCACACGTACGACGTGCACGAGAGTGTGGACGAGCTGGGGCGGCTGGCGGAGACGGCTGGACTGAGGGTGTGTCGGGGGGGGGGGGGAGGCTGTGCGAGGGCGTGTGTGTTTTGTATTTTTCCGTAAGGCACCTTGCCCCCCTACTACCTCACCTCACCTTAGGGAGCTTCTTTCCATAACAGGTGTCCTTTGCCATTGTTTGGTTTCGTCACACAAACACGCATGTACATGTAGATACATATTCCACCCCCCTTCCCCCCCCACACCCAACCACCCCCCCCCACACACACACAGGTCATGGGCTCCACGTATCAGCTCCTTGACGCGCCCAACATGTCCACATACATAGGCAGTGGCAAGGTGGGAACGGGCGTGTGTGTGTGTGTGTGTGCCGGTCAGGAAATCAAAGCGGGGGAGCAGCACATTGTTGTTTGGGGGTTTCTTACGTGGGGGGGGGGGTAGGGGGGGGGTGTTGAGAGGGAGGGAGTTTGGGTGAGAGGGAGGGAGGGAAGGGTTAACGGATACAAGAGGGAAACCCCCTAGAGGGGGCGGGAGCGGATTTTCCTGAACGATATGTGTGTGTATTGATTACCCCCTCCCCCCCTTCTGTTTGGGAAGGTGGCTGAGGTGGGCCGAGCTGTGGCGGCGTTGGGCGTGGAGACCGTCATCTTCGACGACGAGCTGTCCCCGGGGCAGCTGCGGAACCTGGAACGGCAGCTGGGGACGGCGGCGGGGGGCGGGGAGGGCAGCGTGCGGGTTTGCGACCGTACGGCACTTATCTTGGACATTTTTTCGCAGCGCGCACAGACCAGGGAAGGTCAGCTGCAGGTATGTGTGTTTGCAGTGTATGTATGCTTGTATGTATGTATGTATGTATGTACGTTGGGAGGGAGGGCTGACACGGAGAAGAAGTGTGTGTGTATGCCCTCACCCCCGCTCGCCCTCCTCACCTCTCCCCCCCCCAACACCCGCCCGTACAATCACTTGGACGAGCATCTCTCCCCTCCTCCTCCTCTCCTCTCGTCCATCCATCCATTCGTTCATTCCCTCGTCCTAGTTTGTATTCGTACAGTTCACCTACCCCCACCGAGTGTGTATTTACGTGGTGTGGTGTGGTCCGGGCGCGTGCAGGTGGAGCTGGCCCAGACGGAGTACCAGCTCCCCCGCCTGACCCGGATGTGGACTCACCTGGACCGGGTGGGGGGTGGGGGGCAGGTGAAGGGGGCGGGAGAGAAGCAGATAGAGGTCGACAAGCGGCTGCTACGAGACAGGGCGGCGGCGTTACGGCGGGAGTTGGAGGCGGTTAGGACGCACCGGCGGCAGTACCGGGACAAACGGTCCGCGACCCCCATTCCCGTGGTGGGGATTTGCGGGTACACCAATGCAGGTGAGCGGGGGAGTGGGTGGGGTGGGGGAGTGGGCGAGGGGAGTGGGTGGGCGAGGGGGCGAGGGGAGGGTTGGCGTGGCGGGAGGTCTGAGGTGGGTGAAATTGGAGGGGACGGGAGGGTTGGGACGGGAGATGCGGCTGTTTTGGATGCACGGTGCGTGTGGAGGGGGTCATTAGCGGGCAGTGGGTGCGGGGCCCAGTCCGCCAGCATCCCACCCTACGTCTGGCCCCGCTCTCCCGCGTCCCCCCCCACCGCATCAGTCTTTCCTCTTGGCATTAGCTTCACTCGTTCGTGGTTTCGTCTCCCCCTCTCTCCCCTCCCCGCCACCGGGCTCCCCCCTAAGGCAAGAGCACCCTCCTCAACACCCTGACCAACGCGGGGGTGCTGGCGGAGGACCAGCTGTTCGCCACCCTGGACCCCACCACCAGGAGACTGAGGCTCAAGGGCAACAAGGAGGTGGGTATGAATGAATGAATGTATGTATGTATGTATGTATGTGTCCATGGGTACGGGCCTTTAGGGGATGAACAAGACGACGACAACCAAAGGGTTGTCCCCTCTAGTTCCACTCAGGAGGGGGCAGGACCGGTATGGCCTGTGGCGGTTCGTTCAGCCTACGACCCCCGCCGCCCTCACGACCCCGCCGTGTGTGCCCGCCAGTTTCTCGCATGTGTTCTTCCCCCCGCCGGCCAACTCTCTCCCCCCTTCCCCACCCCCCAGATCCTCATGTCGGACACGGTGGGTTTTATTCAGAAGCTGCCCACTGAGCTGGTGGCGGCGTTCAGGTATGTATGTATGTTTGTTTGTGTGGCGGGCGAAGGTTGTGTTTTCTTGGTGGGCGGTCCCCCTGGTGAGGGAGAGAGGGAGGGAGGGGGGCCCTGTCTAGGGGCCCTCTGCGCGGAGGTGAAGAGAGAGAGGGAGGCTGGAGGGAGAGAGAGCGGGAAAGGGGTTCATGTGGTGAAATGAGAATGAATCTTCTCCGGTGCGGTGCAGTGCAGTGCGGTACCCTCCACAGCGGCAGTGAGATGCCATGCGCCTGCATGTGAAGGTGTCTGTATGTGTGTGTGTGTGTATGTGTGTTTTTATTATGACGGGGTCGCTCCTCCTCCTCCTCCTCCTCCACCTTCTCCTCCTCTCCTCCTCCTGCTCTCCTCTCCTCCTCCTGCTCTCCTCTCCTCCTCCTGCTCTCCTCTCCTCCACCTTCTCCTCTCCTCCACCTTCTCCTCTTCTTCACCTTCTCCTCCTCTCCTTCAGAGCCACGTTGGAGGAGATCCGCGACGCCTCCATCATCCTGCACGTGGTGGACATCAGCCACCCCAACGCAGCCGCACAGAACGCCGCGGTGATGCAGGTGCTGGAGGAGCTGGGGATAGGCGGGGGAGACATGCCACCGATGGTCACGGCGTGGAATAAAGTTGATGCCACAAGCAACCCGGAAGAGGTACGGACGTACGGGACGTGTCGTGTATCTGTGTGTATGTGTGTCTGTTACATATTTCAGTGGACCTCTACGGCCGGGGGAAGCCACCCGGGCCCCCGTGGGTGAGAAACCGCCGAAGCACTCCACACGTCTTTTTGGAGGGATGTTCCTTCGATCAGTGTCAAGTCCTAATTGACATCCCTCATCAACGCAAGGCGACGTCACCTGTTCGAATCCTCTCGCCAGTTACACACGCCAGCTCAGATGCCAAGCAAACCCCAAGCAATCCATCAATCGCATGCTCTACAGCTGCGCGAACTACCAGGGCACTCATACCGGTGCGAATCGATTATTGTTTGCTTATTGCCTTTTTAAGACATTTTAAGATAACTTCCCCTGTTTCGTCTCCCCACTTTCCCCGCCCGCGCGTCAGATCCGCCGTGTGGCCGCGAAACGTAGCCGTACGGTCTGCATCTCAGGCCGTACAGGCGAGGGACTGGACGAGCTGCTGGAGTTGCTGGGGCAGGTTCTGGAGGAGTCCATGGAAGAAGTACGAGCGTTGTTGCCGTACAGCGCGGGCGATTTGTTGAATGAGCTGCATACGGGTGGCCGGGTTAAGTGCGTGGAATACACACCGGGGGGGGTGGCGGTGGTGGCGGCGGCGCCGGCGGCGCTGGTGGGGCGGTTGCGGCATGCAGGGGTGTTGTTGGAGTCCGAGGTGAAGGCGGGGTGTGCGGGTGGGGAGGAGGATGGAGGAGAGGATGGGGATGAGCTGGTGCTGTTGTGAAGGCATGTGTAAGCACTGCTGTTGATGGTTGGAGTCGGTTATTTGTATCATTATATGATGGCGGTGGCATTCAAGAGGAGGATGGAAGGCCGGTGGTGGTGATGGTGGGGGGTGTATCGTGTCCATATTTTGCCGGGCCTGACGACGCTGGCCAGAGGGGTGTTGCTGCCCAGATCGGCAATGAATAAGACCGCCGGCCGAAGCACTTCTCCCCCCCTAGGGGAAAGGGGAGGGGCGTGAGGGGCCCCCGTGTATGTGTGTATTGGAGAGTTCCTTTGGCGGTCCCATCCTCGGTAGTGGTGGGTGACTTAGAGGTCTCATTGGATTTACTAACCAACTACCGCCAGTTTGGCTATGAAGGCGGTTAGCAGGACGGCGAAGGATGTGGACGATTCACTAACGGACTAACAGAGCACCGAGCTGAGAAGGAGGAGAGAGGCACGAGTCTCATAGCTGGTTGAGTGGCTTGGAGGCACTGTGCGTGTGTGGACGTCTTGTTACAGGGACGGGGCCCGGCATGTGTAATTAACGGAATGTACGTAACAGTGGAGGGGCAGGGGGCTTACCTGCCCTGGTGATGAAAGCTATTTTGATAAGGTTCAGGTGATGGAAGCTTTTTGAAGCCTATTTTCTTATGTCCTTTGGGATTAGGCAGAGAGCCCCGGGAGCGGAAGAGGATGTTCTGAAGTTGGTGATGAAAGAGCAAAAGAGTTTGCCTGGGAAAATGGCGGCAACAGGTGTAGCTAACCGGAAATTAAAAAGCTCCTTTTCAGCGTTAGCAACGAACTGTGCGCGGATACCTGTACGGTATTTGTTGCCCCGCCTTTATTATGTACGCCGCAAGATGTTCCAGTACTTGACAGTTGCTGCAAACGAACGCGAGGTAGAGTACTTGGGAGGGCGTTTGCCTGTCGAGCGTGTGTTGGGACACTGCAAAGTAGCAAAGAGCTGCAATATGCGCTTGCAGTTGATGAACATTTGACGCGACATAACGCTGAGGCTGCGAATGTGCTTCCCCACGTTCTCGCAACGCGCAACGCGCAGCTGTAATCCTAGTTCCTCCCCGATATTAATATGAAAACGTATGAGCCCATTAGAGCCAAGCTCCCCCTTCAACGGTCCAGGCTCGGGGGGTACCAATGTTAGGGTTACGGCGATTTAAATTGACCTAATCCTAAGGATTGCCTCTCTGGAAAACGACGAAAATGCTTCGGGTTTAAGGAAACGAAAGGGCGACGGAAGCGCAGCAAAAGGTGGTCATATCGCGTGGACCTCCCAGCCTGACAAAATTACATCGTTCTCGTTACGCTTCATATGTGCCTGAAATTTCATGTGCAGAACGGGTTTCCTAGAGGGGCACGACGGGTACGGTAAACTGGGGTGGAAGTACAATCCAGGATTTCTTCGGTCACTTGCTCCAAACATCTACAAGCTTAATCCTATTAAAATTAAAAACTTTGCGTTATTGCATTTTCATACGGACTATATTTTCGAAGATGGGGGCCGCCTGCCAGGAAGTGCGGCCACACGAGCCGGAGCATGACTGCTCAGATATGGCAGATGCCTTCGCGAGACTCAATTTTGGCACTTGGAATGACACAAGTACCAGCGGCCAACAGGATGCTCACCTCCCGGATGCTGCGGTGCGAAGCATTGCCACCTATCTGGTGCAGAACGAGCCTCCTGGGCATGCACTAGTGCATTTGCTTGCCTTCTGTGGCGTCTGTAAGCAATGGCGCGCAGTGGCGCGTGAGGTGAACCCGGGAGTGTGCATCGGCTTCGACGTTCTGGAGAACACGTTTTGCAACCAGTCTTCCATTCAGCGATTCAGGCGTCTGAACATGGTTCAGAAGGAGGAGGTTTTCTACGCGGCTGCAGGGCTCCTTGTTGGTATGTTCGCGCCGAGTTGGTTGGGGCCCCTGGCCGCCAAGACGGGTAAGCCCGAAACCTTGCCCCCTTTTTGTAGGTTATACGGAGATATGTTTCTCTGGGGAGGCTGTATCGGACAGGCTGGTGCTCATGGTTGCGCAGCGCGTCGGCGCCAAGCTCGTGAAGGTGAAACTTACCAACGCCAAGCACGTCACGGATGCTGCCTTGTGCGCTCTGGTGCGCTCAGCGCCTTTGTTGCAGTCTTTCATGGCTGAAGAGCTTGACCGCGTACATGGTGGGTATTGAACTGCTTTGAGCTCTTGCTGCTATGCAGTTTCGCAAAAGGACACAAATTTTATCGGCCTGTCAGGGACTTTCCTGGAGCCGCTCTTGGAGGGCTGTCAACAATTAACAACTGCACACGTTGCTAACATCCCGTCGCTGAACTGGACGGCCTGCAAAAAATCCTGTGAGAAATGGGGGCCGAAATGCCTCACCAAGTTGGTAGTGCGGACGGTCGGCCTGGACGAGAGTTTTGGCATTATCATGTCAAGGCTTGGAAATTTGACTGATTTGGAGCTCGACGGGCCGGCAGTAAATATTAAGGCTGGCGCCCTGCACTGGTACGCGCCGATTCATGCTACCTATCGGCGTCCCCTTGTCTCAACTTCCGCGCGTGGTGTATTTGTGCTGCAGTCCAGCGTTGAGTCGTGTAAGCTACCTCGTCGGGAGAAAGTCGGACCTTGATGAGGCGCTCCCCGCGCTTCAACACATTAAGGAGCTCAAGCAGCTGGAACTCATCGTGCGCAACTTTATCCTGACAGCGGAGAATCTCAGGCACATTGGTAAGGGTGACGAATACCGCAGTAAAAATAGCCTACAGCCCTCAGATTACGGACTGAAGCTTTGGGGTGCACCTGCAGGTGCTCTTCCTGTCGCTGACCTGAGGCTAGACAGCTACGTGTATAAGCAGCAGCCCACCCTTAGTCGCAGCAGCTACAGCCACGTGGATAACGAGGGCGTCAAAGCGCTAGTGGACGGCATCTGCAACCGGTGGAGCCAGCAGAGCATGGGTAAGCATCTTTCCGTGGGGGAAGAGCACCTTCCTTGACGGGTTAACGTGGGAATGGGAAGCCGTCATGCCATGCTCCAGCTGTACAGAAGAGCGACCTTCTGTAAGTTCCAAAAATAAAAATCCAGGTCATCGCCGTGAGCCAGGCGATTTGCTATTGAGCGTGGCAGGCCGATGGCCGATGCCTCCTCTGAGAAAAAACGTGCGTCTAGAAGATCTATTGCATCGAGTATATCGGTACTTTGCCCTTGGGCAAATTTCCGTGATATGACAAATGAGGAAAGAGGAAGGTTTGGCGGCATTTGGAAGGCTGTGCACAACTTTCGCACACGATGATAGGAAGACTGGGGAATTGCTGCTAGGGACGTGATAGCTATATTTTCAATCCTGCTTTGGCTTATTCTACGCGTGTCGTACCCTGTGCGATAAAACCCACTTTTCGCCACAACCTTTTAACACTATAAGAACAGGATGCGATGTAATTGTCTGCGCGGGATATACGTGGCTGTGGTACGTGGACATGGTGGGCATAGTTTGCAAAGAGGGTCTCTGCCCGGTCTGTAGTTACGACCGCAGTCTCCTTCCTCTGCTGTTCCTACCTCTTTCCCGGCGACATCGCACAAAGCTTTGTTCATTCACTCAAATGCCATAAACGTAAAGCATACCTTGTGTAGATTACAATACAAAACGGACGGAGAGTTAACTCGTAGCCGTGAAGTTGGAAATCTCTGTTTAAGTCTGTCAGGGTCGTCAAACCCAAATCCGAACGGACTTCTGTCTTCCAGTGCAACAATCACTTGATCAATCGGTTGCACAGGGGGGGTGCTTCAACCCCCTCTTTTAACAGGTAGGTAACCCCATCCAGTTTTGACGTCTGTCTCCTGCCCGATGTCTTCAGATATGTGCCCTATGAAGCTGTCGCTGTGTGGGGCCACCGCGCTGACCCATGACGCGGTGAGCGCCCTCCTGCGGCTGCCCGTACTGACGGAGCTGGACATCGGGGGCTGCTGCCGCATCACTGCCATGGACAAAATGCGCCTCGTAGCCAAAGTGCGTGATGTGTGTGGGTGTGGGATTGTCGCGGCGTGGGGCGGGATTGGGGATGTGCGCGCCTGCATGGCCTGCGTGTTTTGGGTGCGTGGTCTTCTGTCTTCTGCTTTGTCGTTTCGTGTTTTGCTGGCGCAAGGGTTTCTGGGTGGGGCGGTGAGAGGTGAGAGGGGAAAGGGGTGTGTTGCGGGGCGTGATGAGGAGGAAAAGGAATTTGGGTAAGAGTTTGCAGCAGCTATGAGCTGGTGGTAAGCATAGATTTGATTTGTGGACTTCTATCTGTGGGCAGTCTGTCCTAACGGTTGGTGAATGTGGCATGCAGGTCAAGGCTGGGCGCGAAATGCTGGAGTCGGGTCGCCGTCCCCAGTCCCGCATGATCAACAGCAGGTTCCCCGGGCTATTGCTCTGAGCCCTTCGCACCGTGACGGCGACGGCGCGGTAACATTGCGCGATATCATCGGTGGTGGCGGGGCCGTTGGTGATGGCTGGGAGCAAGGAAGGGCCCAGGGTTGCTGGTGCTCGTGGTGCTGCACACTGGTGCTGCGCTACCAAGGCATCTTTCGATGTTGGAAGTCTCACGAGGCCTGTTGAGGACAACAGTCAGGTCCGGGTCAACAGGCTGCGGTTTGGTCTTTCTACAAGGTAGCATCTGGAGGAGGGATCTGCGGCTTCAGCCACATCTAAATGCTTTGAAAAATGCATTAAGGATCGTGTGGTCGTGGACTGGACTGGACTGGATGCCACCCGCGTGGCCGGCCAAGGGCGCGACGTGCGACTGTTTTGCTCTTGAGCCCCCAGGACCCCAACGTTTTGAAGCTGGACCGAAAACCTTTTTGTGGAAAGGAACGGTTGGAGAATCCTATTGTCCTCGTCATGGAAGACGCGTCTTCTTCCTGTGCATTGCATTCCAGCTTCAGTTTAGCTTAGGTTCGGACATTGTGGCAATTTGGTTGATGTATGTTGTTATCCGTTGGCATGCTGTGAAGCTGCTGAAGCCGGGGAGGTGGGAAAGGGGTCATACAAGGTGCTAGCCACGCCGGGCGATGGTGCCCCGAGTGCGACGGAAGAAGGATACGGGGACGAAGCTGCTGGCGCGTTTTGCCGATGCGAGAGGTAGAGTGGGTGAGGGGTGGCCTAAATAGGACTGATAAGTTTCTTTGGGAGAGGAGGCGGGTGCTACGTCCACACCGCATATGGCGGGTGCAGTTTTGCATACGGCTCTGGTCCGCAGGGTTGCAAACGACATTATAAGAGGGCGGCATTATATCATCACCGTCATATATTCCCCCTTGTTAGTGCTGAAATGCAGGTGCTGTGGTTTTGCAATGTCTGTGTGTCCCTCTGCTGGCATGTCTTTCGTTTAAAACATATTCTTGGCGCATTGCGGGATGAGATGGGTGTGGGTCGGTGGTGGTTGACGAGGCGGTGCCCCCGCAGGTCCTTTCTGGAGTGAAGCACGCAGCAGGCGGTTGCAGCAGAAACACTGACCCATGGTTCCCATGGGGGCTATCTGGTCGGATTGATTTAAGGGCGGAGTAGGGCACGAGCAGCTGCTTGAGTTAGATGCAATGCTTTGCTCCCCTGTATTATTTAGCAAGCGTGTGCACAGCCTCCCTTTCATTTGCACTTGTGAGAGTCACGTCATGTGTCACGTCGCGGGCATCGCTGCATTCCGGGGAACTAACGATGATCCTGTCCTTGGTCGGGTCGGGTCTGCGGGATCTGCCTGGAGTGTACAGCGTCCCCTCAACCGCCTTTACGAAGCATAGCAGACACGAACTGGGTTTTTGCGGACACAACATTGTGCGGTGGCGTTTGATGTCTGGGAAGCCCTTCCCTTCTCTGCGCAGTCGGACTACTTTTAAGCTCTGTGACTTTGATTCTGCTGATGAAGGTCACATGAGGCGAAGATGGGAGCTTTTGGAAATTTGCCGAGATGTGGTGTGCTCACGTGGAAAGTGCGCATTCTTTGCGAGTGGAGTCGCCTGGTAGGCTTCCTGTGGGCTGCTGCGGCTGGTGGTGGTGGTGGTGGTGGTATTAGTGCTGCTGCTGCTGCACAGATTGGCGGTAGCGTGTCATGGAAAGGGGAAGGGTCCGACAAGAAAGGGCCCAATAAGGCGACACCCCTTGTGGCGACTGCATTCGCCCTTTGGCGGACCCTGATGCGGCGTTCTCGTCGTTTTGGGGGTTGTTGGGGTCTACGGGGTACATTCCACCCCACCATCAGGCGGCGTGTGGAGGCCATTGGACTGCGACGATGATCCCCGGTGGGCATGTTGAGGGGTTCGCCTCCGCACGTCTTTTGCGGGCGGTATCGCGGGAAAGGAGGGGTGAATCTTCTCCCGCCCCCCACTGGGCGTCCATCAAGCGCCCTGCACTCCCCCAATCGTATCATCGAATGTGTGTCCATTGCAGTTGTGGTGGTGGCTCCGTCTGTTGGGGGGTTGAGGCAGACGGCGTTGGGTCTCTTAATGAAACGAGCGGATATGTTGTTGCAGTGTCAATTTGTTATAATGCCAATGACTGAATAGTGGCGGATGAGTGTGGGTGGGTGCGCGGGCACGAATTTGGTTTCTGTCTTTCAGGAGACCCGGGGCGGGAGTGGAAAAGGATGCCCGCCGCTGCTACTTCAAGAACTTTGATCAAAGCAGGCTTCCCGCCACTGAGAGGATTAGGAAATTTCACTGGTTTCTTGGAACGAATCAAATCTTAATTATGCAAACTGTTTAATGGTGTCATGTCATCGAGACCTACCGGACTCCCATAGCAAGGTTGGGTCGTGTAGCTGGTGAGCAGTTTTGGAGAGGAGGAGGGTTATAGGCCAATGCAAGAGCCAAGTACATATTGAGTTCTAGGTTCAAAATACCACCATCGGTGCACTGCGCGCTAGTACCCCAAAAACGCCCCTCTCGCGTTTCTATCACAACACAATCCCCTTTCTGCGGCCTACCTCTCTGTGCGCCCAGTTTTGCCCGTCACGCGTTGCCGTTAAGGTGGTCACCGGTGAACGCGGATCTACCCGTATGTGCTGCCCTCCCCCAGTGTGTGTATGGGGAATGGATAGTCGTGTACGATGAGGAAGGCGGGAGGACTCTACGCGCTAGGGGAGAGTGGGAAGCGAAGGTGGGTGGGTAGGGATGTGCTGATGCTCTTCATCAGGGTCGTCTCGTCGAAGTGTGCATCACAATTGTCATCACCATGAGCATCATGTTACAAGGATGTGCGTGTGTATGATAATATTCGCCGTGCTGTTTACGAAGTCGCCCAGTGTAAAGCGCCAGGCAGGATTCGAACGGACACTGCTGCCTTTTTAGTTGCATCCCCTAGTATGTGCTCTCTGCTTAGACATTGTAGAGCTTCCACCCACATCAGCAGCACCCGTATTTGCCCCAGAGGTACAAACGCATACAGCGACTCTCCGTCCTCGAAGAAGTGACGGGTAGTACACATGGCGCGGCAGGGAGAAGAGAAGGGCGGCGCATTTATGAATTCACAGTCAAGCACAGTTTGTAAAAAAACGTTGGTGCTGTTGTATTGTGTGGCATATCCTCATATACCTTTCGGTTGCGCTGCGTCGTGCAGTACTTTGGTTGACAGATGCTGTATATATTCATGTATCGGATGTTAGGGACCGGGACAGGGGGAGGAGGAGGGTGATAGATAGGCCCTGCTCCCCCAGCTGTGCGCAGTGGTTGGGGTAAGTGAGGGGGCGGTGGGGTGGGGCGGGGGGGGGGAGGTGGCGGCAGGGGCCACCTGTTGTGTGCGGCTGGTTGGCGGTCCTCGGGGCCGTTACAGCGTAATAGACACTAAAGCAACACACAGCTGGGCGTTCTCATGTGGACATGTCCGTGGCTTCCGTGTGTAGCGTATATGCATATGTATGTATGTATGTTTATGGTGTATGTATGTATGTATGTTATGTATGTATGTATGTATATAGACACAGACGCACAGGAGGAGGGTGTGGATGGATGACAGAAGTACGCACGAGCACTGAATATATATTTATTGCTCTTTAATATGTGTGTGTGTGTGTTGTTGCATTCCTTAGTTAGCAACCTATGTGGAATGCTGCAGCTGCATAGGGGGAATAAGTGCACGCTAGAGCCTTTGCTCCACCACCACCCCCGCCTCATCCCTCCGCTGCCGCCTCTCTCACATCTGCTGCTGGCATCTCTCCCTGTGTGCCGGCTGCTTTACAATGCCTGTCGTACTTCCGTACGATAATTATCCGCAGGGTATGGTTTCAAGGAGTGGGGGTCAAGGGAAGGGAGAGGTGGACGAACGGGAGATGAACCCGCCAACGCTGCTTTTGTCCCTGTGCCTCTATCCCCGTGCAGCTCCCTGCGCCTGCTGCTGCTGCTGCTGCTGCATTGAACCGCGCACCGCACATTAAAAGTGGTGTGTGGCAGACAGACAAAGAGACAGACAGACAGGCAAACGGACAACTCGTCAGTTGACCTAAGATCTCTGGCGGTGACTGGTTTTTAGCGTCCCGGCAGCATGAGAGGTTGTTGGGCCCCCACCCTCCCCGGGCGGAAGGGAAAGTAAAACCCTCAGCTAGCTAGGGCACATGTACCCCAGGCGTGCACACGTACATACATATACATATACATACATACACAGCTTCCATAATCGCACATCGCTCGTACAGAACGAAATAATAATAGCGAGATTTATCTTACACATACATACATACATACATTCCACCACCTCCAGCTCCCAAGCGCCGCACACTGTGCCCTCTCAAAAATGCGCCACCGCGGAAAATAAGAGCGGCGCCGAAAAAGATCTTCCGCGCGCTAAAGGCACCTTCAAGGGGTGCCGTCATCGTCGCGCGCTAAAGGCACCTTCAAGGGGTGCCGTCATCGTCGTGGTGCTGCTATTGGCTTTTCAATGGAGGCGGCTCTTTCCGTCCTTTACACAAATACACACCACTATATCATCACCCCTGTACACCATCACCCCCCTATCATCACTCCGCCGCCACAGAACGGTACACGTCCACATAGCTCTCGGCGGACTTGGCCCAGCTGCGGCGCACGGGGGGGGGGAAAAGGGGAGGGGGAGTGTGTGTGTTGTGTGTATGGTGGCGGGTAGGAGAGGTGGGGCCGGAGGGGGGTTAACGACTCGGGGAATCGCGTGGCAGGGCGCACACAACCTTACCTGACATCCAGGCGCATGTTGTCGCATGACAAAGCCGCCCACCGGCCCGGCTGCTGTTCGTACAGCTGTAACGCACGATCCAGTGCGCCGTACATGGAGCCCTCGTCGGTACCGTCGAAGGTGTAGCCGTTACGCGGTCCAGCCGCCGCGGGCCCATCCACGTCGAACACCGTATCCGCCAGGCCGCCGGTCCTAATCAGGATATCAGGATACAGGACAAGACAGGACACTTCCAATGACCACAGAAAAGAAATACACTTCGTACTGTCATGGATGATATGATGTTGACGATAGCATTAAGTTAAGTCAACAAATCAGCGGCGATGCCAAATATGCCAAATATATAACTAGTACTGCATAGAAGAGAGATACGAACTACGTACGTATGTATGTATGTATGTATATTTTGGAAAGCGGATGGGAGTTGGTTCAACGGCGGCCCCCTCGTTCCCTTCCCTTCCCGGCTCCGCTAACCGCCAACCGCTCCCAGCAGAGCCCAGCAGACACCACCGCGTGCCTCACACCCTGTGCCGCGCCGTACTTCCTTCCTTACCTGCGTACGACAGGTACGGCGCCGTACCGCAGCGCAATCATCTGCGTCAGGCCGCAGGGCTCGAACATGGACGGCACCACCACCACATCCGCCGCTGCGTAGATTTGGTGAGCCAGGCGCTCGCTGTACATGATCATCAGCCTACTCTCATACAAACAAACATACATTCACACACACAACACCGGCGTAACTCAACCTGGTAGAGCACCGGACGAGATAAATAATCGGCAAACCTGGATTTCGAATCCAGGGACAGTATCTAGCTGATTGGAAGATGTGGTTTTGGCTGCGGCCGCCGCCGCCGCAGGTCCTCCTCACACCTTCCCGGGAGTGAAGTAGATCTGGGTAATCGAACAACGAAACGTTTGTGGTGTGATGATGACGCCGCGAATGTACGTCACTGTACGGTGGCTGCAGTACCAAATTTCATATGACTCAACCTACCTATGCCCAGTTATGAAAAACAAAACGAAGTTACGAAAGGTACGAAAGAGGACCCCATGCATCAGCTCAAGGAGCCCGGAGGTAAAACTCTTTCAGCAGCGCAAGCTCACCTCGAGAGAGAGAGAGAGAGAGAGAGAGAGAGAGAGCCCCCCTCAATCCGTCCCTCTGGCTACAACCGAAGGACACATGCGCACGCATCTCCCCCTCCACTTCTTCATGTATCTTTCCCCCCACTTTCCCCCCTCCAAAAACACACACACTGTACATGCACGTAAGAGAATATTACATACATACGCACATACATACGCACATACAGTTGTTCTACACATACATACAGACATCCTCCCCCACCTGCAGTCCGGGTGGTTCTTGAACTGACCCTCCGCCAGGCTCCGAAACACCGGATCTGAGTGGCCCGACCCGAGCAATACGAACTGCCCGCCACGCTCCAATGTACGGAAGATTGCGGCCTTGATGAGATGGATTCCTTTCTGCGGTACCAACCGACTAACCACCACCACCAGCGGCTTGCGAGGTGACACTGCGAGGCCTAGACCCTGCGTGTGTATGTGTGCATGTACGGATATGTACGGATATGTACGGATGCGCATTCGGGGGAAGGGCGCGGGCGCGGGATTCTGGAAGCCCAACGTGACACGACCTGCCACCAATATTCCCCCCTGTGTCGTACCTGCACATTACCAACATCACTCTATAAAGCACAAAAGCACCCGGGCCCCGACCATCCTGTTTTAACGGGCCCGTGGTGGACGGGCGCCTGTGTTGCGTACAGACAGTAGGGCTGGGAGAGGAAGGGGAGGAGGAGGAGAGGGGGTGCTAGGAGTACCCCGGTAGGTGGGTGGGCCATCCCGCTGGGCGGGGGGAGGGGCTGAGGGAATACGCGCTACGCGCCTGCGAGGGCTTTCCTTTGCGGGGTCTGGGGTGTCCTTTGTTGGGTCTAAGGGCCTACGGACGGCTTTTTTCGCGGGGGGGAGGTGTGGTGCCGCCTCGCCACAGGTTGCGGCAGGCAGGGGCAGTGGCAGGGGCGGTTTTTTGAGAGGTCGTTGCTGCAGTAGGTGGCTTGGGGGGAGTTGGAGGCGAAGGGGGGGGCCTGTAGAGCAGACGGGGTGACGCTGTGTGTGAGTTATATGCCGGTGTGGTGTGGTGCTGTGCTGCTGCCCCGTCGGTGAACTGAACTGATAGCTGCTAGCGGCTAGTCCGTGCCCGCCCCCCGGCCCCGTCACGTGCGCTCGAGGGGTGGTTAGCGTGTTTAGTTTCTTGAACCCTGCCCGCTTGAACCCCGCAACGAATTAAGAATCGGGATGAGAGACCCGGTGAGCTTCACATGAGGGCCTCGTGCCCTAGTAGGGATGTGGGGGGCGGGGTCGGTACCTGGGGGGTTTCCGAGTTTCCTCCCGGGTCTTGGTGAGGTGAACTCTCACCCCAAGACCCCCCCAACCAGGCCGGGGAGGGAGAGGGGAGTCTTGTTGTGTGTTTCAGAGGCTCAGTACGCAGCGGTACTCGCGTGACGGAGCCTCTTGGCTCGTGAGAGCGTGAGAGCGTGAGAGCGACGCCTCTCCCACCCCCAACCCCCGGGGGGAGGAGAGCGGAGGAGCTAGCGGACCTGCGGCTCTCCTTGCCGCTTTAGGAGGGGGGTCCAGAGGGCCCCCTCACGCCCCTCTCCCCTCCGCGGGAGAGAGCTTAGGTTTCTAAAACCCTATACACACATACACACCGCGCGTGCGCATGATACCACACGCCTTATCGTACCTTTCTCGTATCGCGGTTCAAATAATTAAAAAACACACAG